CCGCCCGCCCTCCGCAGCCCGGGGCTGGGCCTCGCTGTTGCCCGGCCCGGTGAGCGGCGGGCGGGCCCGCGGCCTGCGGGGAGCTGTCCTCCCGTGACTGGATTTAGGCCCGGGTCTGTGCCGCTTACGGTGGGGGCAGAGGGGGAGTCCAGCGCCCCCGGGAAGGGGCTGGTTGTCGGTGCGGGCCCCTCAGTATGCCGGCGGGGCGGGGGGCGGGCAGGCCTGTGGCAGCCTGGGGGGGCTGGGGGAGCTCCAGGGCCTGAGCCCGCCCGCCTGCCTGCAGACCCGGGCTGGGTTTTCTCCGTGAGCCCTTCCAGAAGGAGCGGGAGCAGCCGCTCGGGGCTTGTGATGGAGGGGACCGGCGAGATAAATCGGGGTTTTCACTTAAATAAGGGTGTGAGCGGGAGGTCCTGAAAAAGCCGGGTTGGGGGTGCTTAGACAGGGATGGCGACTTCAAGTGCGTTCAGCAGTTCTTAACTTTTGTTGGTACCGTTTTAGTGTGTAGCGCATTCAGTTTTTCTTACGTTGTGTAACTTGTTGCCACTTGAAGATTCCTTAGCAGTTGTAACTTCAGCTGTGCTCGCTCCTCACCCTCTTCAAGGAGCTTCTGTTTAACAAGTCTTGTAAACTAATCCTCTCTCTTTTTAGCAAATATGTTTGGGTTTTTTTAAGCATCTCATGTGAAATGCTGCAGGTCCACTGACAGTGGTGGTGTCCTTTGTGCATTCTGCTTCGTAGTTTGAATTATTCACTTGCCCCATGATACCAGGAGTAGGGTGAGCTTAAATGGGCTTCAAGCAGAAAAACTGCACATAACGTATCGTGTAGGAATAGCCTACTTGCCTGCAGCATTAAACCTTCTGCCCTTAGATGGGAGACCATCTGCCATTTAAAACTTACTGGAAGAATGCGTTTCCTGGACATTTCAAGAAAAAAAATTCTAGTGCTAAATGGTGGTTTCTCTGTCATCACATAGGTGGTTTTTTTCAGTATTGTAACAATCACCTATTTCATATGAGGGTAGTCCTTGTCATTCCTTTAAAGTAACTTCTTCTCTGGTGTAGTTTCAGTCCTTGTTTGTTCTTTATAGGAACAGCTTTTGAGGAAGTGAAACACAATGGTACCACTTACCCTAGCCTCTTCATCTAAAAGTTCTGCTTATTCAAAATCAAATGGCTAATTAGTATAGAGCTGCTTAACGTGCATCCCTTTATTTCTAAAGAGATGGTAGACACTTCATATTTGATATAACTTGTAATTAGTGGTGTTCATTATCTATAAAGCCCATGTTAAATAAGGTAAAATAGCTTCTTTCTCTTTCTAGTGCCAGATTGGCCTCTCTCTTTGGTCTGGATCAAACAGTCTCAAGCCATGGAAACGAATTCTTCCAGTACACTGCACCAAAGCAGCCTAAGAAGGGTCAAACAGCAGCTGGTAAGTAACTGGGATTGAGCGTGGGGAAAAAAACGTAGCAGCATGTGTCTTGCTGGGAGAATGATGGGCTTTGTGAAGAACAGCAGTGCAAATAATTCACTTGGTTTTCTTGAATTATATTATCCTCTAGTACCCTCCTACATCTGGTTATTCTAGTGGCCTTTGGTGACTTTAGAACATCACTCTTTGTTTTTCATCTTCTTCTAGAGTTATTTTTCCTTCGGGGAAGGACTACGTTGTGGCATTGGCACTGGCCAGCGAATGTGGCAGTTCTGCTATCACTGACAGATAGTCAGTGCTTTTTATTCTTTGGCAGGTCAGGCAGCCCAGAAGGCTCCTGTGGCCCCAGCAGCTTCAGGAGCACCATCAGTGTTCATGGCCACTGCGGTTCATGCTTATCGATAGTAAGTGCAGCAGTGGTTTCCTGCATTACCTGTTAGAGTCTGTGTCTCTGGGAGCTTAAGACCTAATCATAAAGGGAAGATGTTGGATTAGTAGAAAGACACCATTGCTTGTAGACATGTGTCTGCATGGTAGAAATGCTACAAGTCAATGCAAGTTTCTGCTCAAAAAAAGTTTCAGTTACTGTGCTGCAGTTCTGGGTTACACAGTTGTCAAATAAATAGCAAGTTCTGGATTTGGCTGTTACAGGCAACTGCATCCTGGGGTGCTGGCCTGACACTTGCACGGTTTCCAGGCAGCTCTGTTGGATGCTTATGTCTCATACATTCCCTTGTGGAGAACTGAGGCATGAGCATAGAGTGACAGCAGTAAAATTCTCTGTCCATTTGACAGTGCCATCATGTAAAAACTCATTTGCCCTGGGTCTGTGAAAAGAACAGTTTTCAACTCAAACTCAGTAATGTATGCTCCTGTAATCTGTGGGCAAGCAATGCAGTTGCAATGTCTTTAAGCTAAGAAAGGCTGCCTAACATTTTAGTCATGAGGAGAGGGACCTGAACTCTAAAGAAGAAAACCTCAGCAGCAGTAGAGGGAAGTCTGAGGCAGGGACAGTTCTACAGCTGAATATCTAACTTGTCTTCCAGTACAAATGGGCAGTACTTGAAGCAAGGCAAGTATGGAGCAGCTGTAGTGGGGAACCATGCTACTAAAGAGGTGAGAAACACTTCACTTCTTTTTCTCAGAGCTCACCAAAATGTCTTTGCTTTTGATGTTGGAGGTCTTAGTTCCACTGATTGTTACACCTTCAGCCATTTATCTTGGTGACATCTTTCTTTTCTGCAATCCACAAGTTTGTAAGATCTCTTACAACTTGTGCCTGAAATATTTTGCAATGTTTCAGGCACTGCACCTTTTCTAATGTTTCTGGAAGTGATTTTGATGTTTATTCAGAATGTTTTTGACAACTGGATCACAAATCTGTGCATGTGGAAATCAATATATAGCAAAAGTCTGTCCAACAGTACAGAGATGCTTTGCTTAAGTTTTGTTATTTTGGTACCAAAAATATCTCTCCTTCCCAAGTACTCCTCTAAGAACATGGCACCAAGGTGCCCAGTAAATTGGTGTGTTTAAAAGATACTTTGAATGCTCTGATCTGTCCTTGATTTTGGTGTTTATGGTGTTTCCTAATGTTCAATTCCTAATTCATGTTGTCTCACTAAGTTGCTTCTGCTTTGAGAAGAACAAAAAAAACAGTAGTTTGGTAAACTAATTGCTGAGTCACAGATCTGAGAAGTGTTCAGGTGTGGCATTTGTGGGGGAGCTGGGAAGGACAGGACTTGCCGAAGGAAGCTAATGCAGCCTTTCTCAGGCTGCCTTTGTAATATCGAAACCTGCACAGCTGGGAACAGTTAGCAGATTGCTCCCCATTCACCACCCAGCTGTGTTGAGTGCAGGTGCATAAAAGAAAGCACTTTCCCTTAGTGGATTGTGTCTAGTACAGCCAAATACATCAATTTAATGTTATATCTGCATTGTTTAGTACATGGAAGGCTCCCTCCAACTTATTATTACTCAGTCTGTTACATTGTTTTATGCCTGTATGTTATGTATTGTGAGTCTTATGTATCGAAGGGTTAGTGCACCATCTTTTCACACAGTAGCTGAAAAAAAATGTGGAATTAGTTAAAGCATCTTGCTTATTGCAAACTAATTAGTTTGAATTGCTTGATTCCTGTAGCTAAATAAAGCTTGCATATTTTCAAGGGTTTTTAATAGGTGCTACAAAATTGTGTGAAGTATTTTTGCTATGAAAAATGCTGCTGCAAGGTGTATTTGACAAATACTGTAGCCTTAGGCTCAGAATTTGACAAAACACATTAGAATTTAAGACGTTACGAGTTTGTGCTTTTTGTTCTTTTTCCCTACCCAATTCCTTGTGGAATCCAGTACAGAATCCTCCTTTACATCAGTCAGCAGCAACAGATCGCGACTGCAAGGATCCATCCAGGCTTCATACTCACAGTAAGACTCTGGATTAGAAAAGCATTCAGTGATCTGTATTGTTTACAGCAAACAGAAGTTGACTCTGAAATGCTTTCTTAAGCCTTAGTTTATAGCCTTTGAGATCAAACAACTGACTGACACAGCAAGAAGTGCCACAGTGCCTTGGGAGCGCTGTTCTGCTCCTCCTCCTCCTGTGTATTGCACAAGACTTGCATCTGCCTTTTGCAGAGCACTTCATCAGTAGATTTCACAATGCAAGTTTTTACACTGTAGGAGGTATGTTATTACCTCTAGATCGCAGAGGAGATGTTTTGAGTTTTGCAGTCCTACAATGGATAGAAACAAAACAAAATTTCTTTTGCTAATAATTTCTAGTTAAGATAGTGAGAGACTAGAACTGAGCAAGCAGAAGGAAATGATAGCAAGGAAATGTTTTCTCTCAGAAATTTGACACTCAACACTTTCCTGCTGATAAGAACAATTTGGAGCATTGTAAGTCCTAAAACAGGATCTCTCAGGAAGTTCTGTTTTCTGCCAGTTTTACAGAAAACTGGTGTGTTCATTTTTTAGCTTGTCATCAGGTGATATAAAATTTCTTGGTTTGACAGACAGAAATTTTACTCTGAAATAGTAGAATTTCAGTCCAAATTTCTGACCAGGATGCTAGCTTGCTTTTTAGTTTTATTAGCACATTTTGAAAGATCGATGGGTTGTGTATTCAGCTTCTGGTGACATGGATTTTTAGAAGTGAGGAAGGGATGACTTCTCCAGTTGATTCTGGAAGTGTAAATATAATTAATACTTATGAAAAGAAGATTACTTACACTTAAAAATCTCAGTATGTATTATAGAACCTAGCTTCAAAGAAGCTTGTGAAAGCTGCAGCATCTATGAAGAACTTAATATTTGCTCAAGTATTTGAGTTATAGTAATTCTTCCATGATAATGAGCACATAAATAAAAGCTAATTTGTGCATTCTGACCTTGGGTAGTAATACAGCAGGATTCTTCCTTTGCCTCTGCTTAATTTCAGTAGCTCTGATTTTAAGCTTCTTTTGGATGTGGATTTTTTTTTAATGTAGTTGAATGCATCTTTTCATGTATAACACGGGACTGATTTCCTTTCCCACAGGTTCAACCCAACAATTACAGTACGTTCTATGATGATCAGAGACAAAACTGGTCCATCATGTTTGAGTCAGAAAAGGCAGCAATGGATTTCAGTAAACAGGTAACTACTTACTCTGTGCAAGGTGTGACTTGCTGGCTTGTTTAAAACAACAGCCAAATCAAGATGTATCTCTGAGAGCACCTTAGTGCTGAAAGGTGCTAAGTCAGTCATACTTTTTCACTGAAGTTCAGCTTTGAGTGTCTGCCTGACTGTGATTGAGGCAGATCTGTGATGAGCCTGAGTCTTGTTCATTAGATACAGGCCTCTGAGGCAGGGAGCCTGTTACTTCTGGCGGGATTTTTGATCAAGATTCTCAAGTACTGTAAGACCAATGGTTCTGTAGAGCAGAGGGTATTTACTCAGCAAAATTCAGTACAAGGAAACATGGAATGCCTCGTAAGTGCATCTATAAGCAGGGCTTGATCAGTACAGTAAGAAATGCATCAGATCTGTAATGAGTTTTAGTGGAACTTGCCACTCTGTTTTAATGGCCAGAGACATTGACAGGCTTTCCTTCTGCAGGTATGCATTGCCAAATGCAACAGCTCCCCAGTGCTTGATTCAGTCCTCTACCAGGATCTCCTTCTTGGAGAAGGGCAAGGAGTAGAAGGAGGAGACTCTCTGGAGATTGCCTATACAGGTTGGCTGTTCCAGAACAATGGGCTTGGACAGGTAAAGACATTTCTGCAACCTCCTGTTACTAAGTGAGTGTGACAGTCCCTGGAAGGAGCTTGCCGCACCTAGCATAGTACTGGCACTGATGTTAAAGGTATTTTTTCAGTCGCTTATGGCACCATAAGTGAGGTCATGTGTGTTACCTATAGAACAATAAGGGATTCCGTTACTGTTCAGGAGGAGGCAACTGAAATGCTTTTAATTTTCATAGGCACTCTCACACATAAATATTAATGCAAATGGTGAGAAGGGACAGTGAAGCTAGCATGTTCCTTTGCAAACAGCTTGAGGAAGTGATAAGAAGGGCCTTGTCTGACACAAAGCACATATCAATATTAAAAGAATGAGATTGCTTTTACAGCAATCCTCTACATCTGTATCCAATCCAGTTTGCTAATGAGCAAAAGAAATTCTTTCATGTTTCAATGCCTTTAAAATACTTCTGCTGGTTTTATTATTAGCGAAAATCATGGCAAAGGGTTTTGCATTTGCATCCATCTGCAGTTGAATCTTTCTGCTATGAAAAAGGGCTTTCTGTTTTTCATTTTTAGGGGATTTTTTGTTTGTCTTGATCTGTCTGGCATGCTTCTCTCTATGTACCAATGGTACATAGCAGAGCTTACTTCTAATCTCCTGAAAGAGTTGTTCAGCTGCATATGTCTTAGTTTAATGTACAAAACTTCTAGACAGTTGTTTGCTGCTTGATATAAGCCTGTTGCATAGTGTTTTACCTGGCCCGATCCTGTCCTGACCATCAAGCTCAAAGCAGTTTTAAAGTCTGAGTCTCCAGCTGTCATTCACTTTAAGAAATTGTACTGTGCAATGGACTAGAAGCTGTAGAGAGGCTCTGGCTTACGTTTGTTGAGAATTAGTTTTGGAAGTAGCAGAATGGGAAATAGCACATAAGAGATTGTAGGAGTTTATGGAATGTGTAAAGCAGCGTTCAGAATCTTGAAACAATTAGGAAATCCATGTATTTTATGTTTTTGTTCTTCAACTCTCTAGGTGTTTGACTCAAATGTTAACAAAGACAAGCTGTTACGGCTCAAGCTGGGATCTGGAAAGGTCATTAAGGTAGAACTTCTGGCACTTTCATTATAATAATTGAAGTCTTAGAGCTTTGAATTACTGAAGATCTTGTTCAGGATTCATATATGCTATTTCTGTTTCATGGTTCATTTGATAGGAAACACTCTGTAACAGCGACTCACTCAAACTTTATTTTCTTCTTAATTTGCACAATATAGCCCAGTCTCCTTTTCAGTGGCAGTGTTAGAAAGAAGTTGTCCTGTTCAGTAAAAAAGAAGCTTCCTGTTTTCAAGAGCTGGCGGGGGGGTTGTCTTTGTTTTTCTGGAAGTCACTTAATCCATTAACTTGTTCTCAGGGAACTTTATTTCTAAAGGAGGATTTCAATTTGAGAAGAACTTCAGATTCCTCCCCACTCATGCCTCAGAAGCAGACCATCAGACAGCTCTGATACAACACCTGGGAGAAGGGCATGGGAGGGTGAAGACAACTGACAAGTTTTAGGATGGTCTAGTAAAATATAATACTACTGCCTAGAGTGGTTTTACCCTCTAAGTCAAATTGTGAGGGTTTTGGCCATGGAATAATTTTTCAGTCCAGGTGGTGTGATACTCCCTTATGTTATTGCATAAAATCAGGCTGTGAGTCAGAGATGCTTTTGTTCAAGTTACTTCCATTATGCGAGTAATTCATATATGATCTGTTACAAATTGTCCTTTGTTGAAGATGCAGTATTTTTCTACTTTATTTGTTTTAACATGTATCTTCTTATTAATGTTGTCTGGGTATAGTAGTCATCCTGTTAAATGCTGGCATCCATTTGACAGTTTGCATTTCTCTGACTTCTAAATCTCCTTCGCTACAACTGTTTTCTGTGGGTCGTTGTAAATCTAACCATAGAATTCGGAAGAGATCTCTCAGTGACGTGGAGTCCTGTTCTTTCCCAGAAGGCTGAGAAAGGTCACCATTGTGTGCCCTCCAAGCCACCCGCAACTACAGAATTTGTGCACACAGCACAGCATGCAGTTCTTTTCTCCAGGATATCACTGTGATCTGTGATAGCTCCTTAAGTTAGATATTTAAAACTTGAACCAGGTTTCTGGAACCATATGGAGACCTGGAAGCCTCCAGCCTTCATGGTAGAGATTGCTCTGTCTGTTTGGTTTCATTATGAACATGTTGGGAGCTGCATCTTTATTCTTAAGTTAATGTTGCAATTTATCACTGGCCATTAAGATTTGTTGTAAGATGAATGTGCTGCAGACTGAAAATAAATAGGGTATTACAAGAATCTCTCTATATGTGTTTTGGAATCTTCTGTAACTGGTGCCTGAAGCTGTCTTAATCAGTGTAATTAAAAGAAACTGTAATGTCACTGATCAAACTGTTTACTTTCTCTTCTATTGTGTCTCTGAAAACCAAAGGGCTGGGAAGAAGGAATGATGGGGATGAAGAAAGGAGGGCGAAGGTATCTCATCATTCCTCCAGCATGGGCCTATGGGGCTCAGGGAGTGGCTGGCCGTGTCCCTCCAGACTCTACTTTAGTTTTTGAGGTGGAAGTTAGGCGGGTGAGTGTCTTCTGCCAAACGTTTATTTTACATCTGCTTTGTGGCTGTTGGGTGGCAGCGTCTGTCTGCAAGGTGAAAACCTGCTGTTGGCATGAGAACTACAGCTCAGAAACTGTTATAAACCAAATACCTCAGGACGATACGTATCTTTAATTTAAAAAAAAAAAAAACCAAAACAAAACCCTAAACCCAAAAAATCCCTCTAGGCTGTTTACTAAGACATGTCTATTCTGTCTTGGGATCTTTTCATTGTCTTATTTGTGAGTCACTTAGGAAAATAAAATAGTCAGTGAGGAATGACAGGATGTAAAGACTCAGCTTCTTCAGTTCTGAATCAGTTGTATGCTTTTACTTGAAGTGCATGAGGAGTCAATCAAAAACAAGTTGCTGAAAACTTTTTTGGGAACCCGGAAAACCATCTTTTTTGTTATGTGCTTTTTAAGGTAAAGTTGGTAAAGGAATGCTCTGGTTCGGATGGACAAAGCGTTAGTTCAAGGGATTCTCCTGCACCTTCCCCAGTACCAAATTCAGATGGCTTCTCTGCAGACACTGGTTTATTGCCTCCATCTACGATACCTCCAAAGCCTGGGTAAGAAGCAGCATGGTTATAACAACTTGCTGTATTAAAAGATGGCAATGCTCATAAACATCCATCACAATGTTGCATTAACACATCATTTGGCAAATGTGGATCCTCTGTGTGCCAGCTTAGTGCCATCGGTGTGGCAGGGGAATGCTTGTGAACAAGACTTGCAGGAAATTTTCTGCTTGAATGCTGACTTTCAGATTTAAAGAAATTTGAATGGGCACAGATGAAAAGTCATTCCTCTGCAGCGTTACTAAGATCTAACATGATTAAGCTGTATGAGTACTGCTACAACAGCTTTCTCATCTCAGGTGGCAGTATAGTCATAAGTTGGTCTTAGGTTATGGCTGATGGGTTTAATTGCAAATTTTACATTGTCATTTTGTTTCTTAAATTAACTAAATGGGTTAGTTATCCTTTTTAGGGAGTTCAAGTTTAAGTGCTCTTTTTGTTGCCATAAGTAGTTTGTTACTGGACTTGGTTAAAATTGTTTGTACCAGAATGTGGTCATTACAGCGATCAACAAAATCAACTTTCTGTAATCAGCCATGGAACTTGCCCATAATGATGTTCTGAAATCTACAGATAGTGTTGCGAAGAATCTTCCAAAAGTAAGGTAAAAGAAATGCTCACAATATAAGAAAAGGGTTTTCCTAGGGGGAGGCGTATTTGACAATATTTAGAAATGCAGAATATTGGATCCTGAATTTCATTTTTGTTAATCTCCAATATCAATACACACCTGTTTGGCTTTTCAGGGAGCCAGCTGTTCGGGCCAAGTCAAACTCCATCAGTGAACAGCTAGCAGTAAGTGTTGTTGCTTTTTCCTAACTAATTTGAAGCTTTAAGTAGGGAAGCTTGGTTGGTTTCACCTCTCCATTCAGTGTTGCTGAAGATAAAGTGAACCTCATGCAAATAAGATGCTCTCAAATGTTCACCTTACTAACGGCAGATTAGGGCCTTGGTTTTGAAGGTATTAGCAGAACATGAGGAACCTCAGTCCCAGTTCCTACTCTTAAGTGCAAAGTTACCTTGACCTTGTGGATACTCATAAGATTAGTTGTCTTCTTGGATAAATGGACAAATTTAGAATGGATAACAGAGTAATTGGGACATTCATTATAAGTTTATATAGCTACATGAGAAGAAGACTTTTTGCATGTGCCTCAGGATAGAAAAAGCTGCTAAGCAGCTTCTTGAACACATTTTCTTGTTGCTGTGTTTTGTGCAGGGATAGATTTTCTATGTAATGACAGTGTCATCCCAGAAGGAGAGTATATAAAGCAAGCCAGATTAACAAATCCACAGTGTTATGTTGTATGCTTGAAAATCAGTTTTTCACACAGTCATTGAAAAATTGAAATAACCAGAATTGTTAAGTCAGTGATTTAGAAGGGTGTAATCCTGACAGATGTCTCTGTAATGTCTGAAAAGCCTGGGCAGAGCGATGAAGGAAGAGTAACTGCAAACATTTCTTTTAGAACCCAGATGTAGCAAAGGCAAAGCTAATTTCTCGGATGGCTAAAATGGGACAGCCCATGCTGCCTTTCCTTGCCGGGACAGCAGGTAGTCAACTTGACTCCAGTGACTCGGAAATAGAGGTACATCACCAATCACATAAATGTAATCTTTTTTTGATTTTTTTTTTTTTTACAGTGTGAATTCCTTAAAGTGGAGTCTGTAGCAATAGCTCTCATTTTGTACAGGGAAAGCGTACTCTGTTTCTGTGGCAAAAGGGTTTAATGATTCCACTGTTCCTATCTAGTTCAATTGGGTTAACTGGATAACACCTAGTCTTGAGTGATCTTGGGTTCAAACTGTTTGCTCATTCTTTAGCATTCCTTGTAATATGCAGAAATGTTTTTAGGATCCAAATACACTGAGAGGGACAGCACAACCAGTGGCTTCATCTTCAGTGAGACCATCGCAGCCAGCTCATGCAGTACTGCCCACAGTGTCAACACAAGGTAATATGCTGGTGAGCCTGGGATTGGTATAGAGAAGTTTCGTTTATTTGCAGGCTTCAAGTACAAGGGTTGTATGAATAGAGGATTCCTTTCAGGAACTGAAATGGGAACTGATAGATAGCTTCTAATAAGGCTTGCTAATCCGAAGCTCCATAGGTAGACTAAGTCCTTGGAGTATGTCTTCATTGTGATCTTATGCACACATGACTGTTTGAGGAAGAGTAGCCACGGTGCATGAGCCGCTCTGTCACTGTGTGTGCTGGGGTGTCACTGAGATTTCTAAGAGGACATGTGATTTGTAAATGGGACTGTTACAAATCCTTTCCCAGTCAACAAATTTTTTTTGTTTGAAAATGATGGAAATAAAAGCAAAGGGCATCAAAGGGCTGGCAGCTCTGGAGCAGGCTCGACTTGTCTTCTCATGATGGAATAGTAATGTCAGCTGCTGGTCAGCTGAGCAGTCTTTAGAGTCAGTCTGAGTAATATCTTGTGTCAGTAAACCTCAGAGCTACCTTTGTTTGAATGAAAAGAGGTTGTCTAAATGTAGCTAGAAGTGGAATTTCTGTGAAAGATTACTTTTTTCTTGACCTTTTATCACTTGCTTGACCGGATTTAATTTTCACAAGGCTGCAGACAGGCTTGTGTTAAATTTTTGTCTATTTAGTGATTTTTTTTTTTTTTTTGGCCATTCCACACTGGGTGAGTGAAATTATTTCTAGCTACTTTACGGCATGCTGAATTTTTTTCTTCCTTTTCAGTACCTCAAGCATCTGGTTCTACACCCCCGGTATCTTCTGCTGCTTTAATACCTGCAACGATCCAGCCCCATTCAGCTCTGCCTGGAGGAGCACAGGGTTTTCAGGTACCAAAACGAAATCAAGGACAATATTGGCACTTCTGTCCTTTCTCCTAAGTGTTACCATCTTCTCTGTTGCTGGGAGCAAGGACTTCATAGCAGCATGTAAGGATGAGAATCCCAGGCTGTTTCCTGTGACTCTTCTGTGGCATTCTCAGGTTTCCATCACACGCCTCTTCGAATTTAATCAAAAAGGGCTAATTTTCTGTTTGCTGATGGCTTCTTAAAGTTGAACTAAGAATTAACCAGACTTTCTTTAATATCTTCTTTTGTAGTGGATAAAATAAAAACTTTTAAGTATTTGTAGAGCTGGTGAAAACAAGCATTTTATTTGAAATTTTTCTTGGGCATGGTCTGTTTTTCTGTGAGAGCTCACGTGCACACTTAATGTGGTTTTGGGTCATGGTTTTTCATCCAGCAAAAGAATAATCCTTTTAAAAGGCTTGTGCTGCTGCTGCTGTAAAGTGATGCAATCTGCTTGCTAACAAGGAAGCTTTGGGGGCTTAACACACAATGTGTTTTCCACGTCAGATAGGGAAGACAAAGCTATTGTACAAACAATTCTATGAAGTCTAAAACCAAGTTTTTTACTGTCTGCTTTCTGTAGTTATTTTCACTTAAGCTGTTTTCTGGAACTTTTGGAAATCAGTGGCCTATGTCGCATAGACGCGCAGTTTATTTTTAAAGGGTCCAGGCAGAGGAAGAAAACATTTGATAATGAATAAAAACAATATGAAAACAAAACACTGCAACAAAACAAAAACAACCACAACACCACCACCACCCCCCCCTCCAAAACTGGTGTGGTATTGCATTGCTTTGGCTTTGCATTTTCCTTGTGTTGAAAATGAGGGAGGTGTGGCAAGTAATAAGATTTTAAAAATAGGCTTTTCTGTTTGTTGAAATAGAAACTAGTCATTAAAGTGAAGTTTTAATCTGACAGTGATTTGGGTGTATCCTTTTGAAAATTTGACCCTGACGTCCTGAATTCTTCTAGAAACTTGGCCCAAGTTCTATTGTAATTTTTTCTTTTTTCCTTGCCTGAGAGAGTAAACTGGTAGGAGTGAGGTACTCATAGCATTTAATGCATTCTTCAGTCCATTTAGCTCCTTCTGATGAGCACTGAGCAGTAAAGTTGCAATCAAGTTGTGTTGCACTTTGAGCCCTTCCTAGGAATAGCCTTGTGTTCAAGTTAGCATAACTTCAGTGAGCTGTTCACATGCTGATCTTTGCCTCTCACAAACATACTTTTGCTTAAACTTCAGTGAAGAAGGTAACTTATTAAGCTGTGGTAACTTGAACACATGTCTAAGCCTTGAAAGAAGAGTGACTGTTGTTTTCCCTTTACTATGACTGTTGTGTGATTTGACTTCCAGCTCCTTAATTCTGTCTTTCTCTTTCCAAATGTCATCCTTGCTCTGGGGCTTAAGAAACATGAAAACTGCTTAAGAGTGAGGAAGGGGGGAAATATCAAAACATATTCTAATCTATTGAACTTGCTCTGCAAGGCATATCCAGGAATGGCATTTGCTTACCCCCAAACTGCTGCATCTGCTTCTCAACTCCAGCCTGTAGGACAGATGTATCCCACACCTTACCAAGGTACGTTTAAAAAAGTACATGCTTTACAGAAGGCTGCAATACCTGCAGTAAACTGTTTATAATGATTTAGGTAGCAATGGTAGCATACACGTACATATTCATCCTGTCTGTACTGCTGTGCTGTTTCACAAATTCTTATTTTTAATACCAAATGGGGGCAAACATTTCCCAATAAATATCCATCTTTTTCTTACATTAAGGAACTTTGTGCAGTGTGAAAGGGGATGGAATTTCTAGGTGTAATCCCAAGGCTGTGTATTACTAAAGGTATTTTGTAGATGATGCTTCCAGTTATAAATATAACTGTAATAGTAAATAGTTATCCTGCCAGCCAGGGAAAGAATTTAAGTGTACATGTAGAGGCCTTTACTAAGTGAGAGGACATAGCCCAGAAAAGGGTGCAACCTAAGAAGGACTGAAGGCATTTAACCAACCGTTTAGGTAATCCCTGTTGGTGAAGACTTGAGTATAGCTGAACTTTCCTTGGGGCACGTTTTTTTCAGTTCAAAGTTTCAGAAGCCATCCTTCGTTCCTATTGTTTGATTGTACCTCTTTGTGTACTACTGTTCTAGTGCGTCTGGGAGCTTTGCTCTTGTTGATCTAAGTGCTGTCACACAGCTCAAGAATTTCCTGTAGTCATAAACCTGCCTACTCATGTTATTTGGAAAATACCTGTGTCATTATTTTTCCAAATACCATGTCCATTTTATTTCTGGGAAGAGTGGCTGTCCTATCTGTCAGGCTTCAAACTGCTGAGCATTGCTTTTGATATGTCTGTATTGCAGGCATTTTCCCCTTGTGACTATACATCTCTCTCCTTTCCATTCAAGCACCCGGGGATGTTACTTCCTTTTTGATGACAGAAGCTCGGCAGCATAACACTGAAATCCGAATGGCCGTTAGCAAAGTAGTAGATAAAATGGATCATCTGGCTGCCAAGGTAATGTATGGCATAGGCGGGCTTGTTAACAAAGTTACTGCTATTTGGTCTCCAAATGTCTCGGGAGTTGGCTCTATTTAAATGCCTGCCTTAAGGTTGTAAGTGATGTACTAACTTAGTGAAAATTCCAATATGATCAAACCTTGAAGTGGTGGCAGTTCAGCTACTATGAAAAAGCTAAACCTAGGCTTGGGGGAAGGTGCTGTGTCTTATTGTCTTAAATATCATATGATGCAGTGTTTGAAGAGATTCATTGCCCTTCAGGAGGTGTCACAGTTGATACAGTAGTGTATACCCTACAGCTGATCAAATGGAACACTGAAATGGATCTTTGCAGATGTCTCTTACCTACACGCATAAATTCATTTCATCTGGCTTAAGAATGGCTTATCCCTGCAGGTGGAGGAGTTGAAGAAACAAAACACTGGTAACGGCTCACTGCTGCCTGGTATCTCCTCTGTTACTATGGAAGCTTCCATGATCATGAGCAATATCCAACGTATAATCCAGGTGAGCATGGCCAGCCTGTTTTGACTACTTCCATGAGGAACTGGAGCCCACTATGTTACTCCTAATGTGGAAAGTTGTACTGGCTTGACCCAAATGTCCATCCACCCGTGTGTTCTGTATACAATGATTTCTACCCCTCTGCCCCCAAAAAAAGCTGTTCTCAACAGTTTGTGGTCTGGGTACTTTCTGAGCCAGAGCTGATATATTGGTATTTAATAGGCCTTGGCAAAAGGCTCATGTGAGAGAAATTCAGCCTCTTAAACCGTTATGGACTTAACCCACAGCATCCTGCAGAACGGAGTTTCACAGCTGAAGTACCATGCTGCAAGAACCACAGCCTTCCGTTTTTCACTACTTAGTCTTAGGCTTTGTAGTTTTTCTAAACAGCAGCCTTACAGTCTTGGGTTTTGTGGGTGAAAAAGTCAACCAGACACAATATTCTCTAGAATGTGGTTTGGCAACCACTGTACCATGCCAGGATTCTTGCTAAGTGTAGCATGGCGCCTTCCTGTGATGTTACCACAGAAGGTGATAAGTCTCACCACCATACTGCATCTGTACAAAACAAAGGGTTAGGTACTGCTGCAGGGAAGTCTGAGTAAGGTGAATATTCATGCTTGGGCTATGCTTTAGGAGAATGAGAGACTGAAGCAAGAGATATTTGAGAAGAGCAGTCGGATTGAAGAGCAGAATGAGAAGATCAGTGAGTTGATTGAGCGGAATCAGAGGTAAGGAGTGGGGAGGGTACAGCCTCTCTGCATTTGCAAAGACTTTCTAGCTTACACTTGGTTAGGCATAACTAGGAGAGGGGTGTTCTTTAGGGTAGAGACATGTTCTGATATTTAATTTTTTTTTTTTTATTAAGGCATTAAAGTGTGGTTTCCCCCCCTCTCTCTCTGCAGGGCATATCTCCAAAACTGTGGTTTACAGTAAATGTGAATGTGTAAAAGGGGAAAAAAACCTCATGCTATCTTCTTTGAGCACACTTACTCTGCTTCTTGGAGTTACTTTACTTTTGCTAGCTTTTTAGTAAGGTGGAGGAAATTGTAGGGGATGCAGTATCCCTAGTTCCACTGTTGGGTTTGTGTTCTATTCAGTTTAAGAAGGGGAATAACTTGTTAAGGAAATTGCAAAGGTCAGTGCATATCAGGTTATCAAAATCCATGACTGTGTGATAGGAACATTAGACTTGTTGCAGAGAGGTAAAGCACTTATCCAAAGTGGTATAATCTCTGCTGTGCCCAGCACACCCATTCCACCCTTTTGAGATCAGGCTCTTCTTAGTTCAGGATATCACGCAAAATTGTCTGGGACTTGTCATGAAGAAAACTGCTCTGAAATGTCACCTTTTCTCTCTGAGCCTTTTGCTCCAAGTCATGTATTTATGTAAATGCTCATGCAGTCTCCCCTGTTCACAGATACGTCGAACAAAGTAACTTGCTAATGGAGCAGAGGAACCATTCACTGCAAACAACAAATGAAAACACACAGGCAAGAGTGTTGCATGCAGAACAGGAGAAGGTAATGGTGACAGTGAGCAGAGCCATAGACCTCTGGCTGCAGCCAGGAAAGGGACTTGTTGTTGCACTAAAATATGCTGAAGCCTTGTTAGTCAAGGCTTAAGTCAGTTCTCTTACAAGACAACTGTAGTTCTAAACTTATGTTTTAAAAGCTGTTTTGAGAAAAAAAATGAGTATTTTCGTGGCTTTCATGACAAAAGCAGCACAGGGGATATAAACGTAGATCTTTATGCTGTCATAGCTTTAATATTCTTATCTTGCACGAAAGTGTCTGATTTATTGTTAACTTTGTAGGTGTATGGCCAACATGTTGAGAAATTGTGTGTATCACAGGGCTTTGTGGCACTGAAAATGTACTCTGTTTATTTAGTTGCACTGGCAGTTTCAGAAAAGTTTTATTCCTTCTGTTTAACTGACATAGAGTGAATGTAGCTATAAAAAAAAATTATTTCCTACTAGAGTTTCTTCATTGCACTTTTGCACTTCTTTATTAATACTAATCAAAAGCTGTTTGTTTCTACCAATAATATATTGCCCTTTTGTGAAAGGGGCTATTGGGAAATAGCTTTTAAACCAGTTAAATGCACTTATGCATGGCTCCATATCCTCTATTGTCCACTTAAGACAGCCTAGCCCAGGTAGGCTAGCTTTGAGGTCTAATTGCATGGTGTCTTGTATGCTTTCTCAAGCACTGGCTTCTTAAATTACACCAAGTTCAGTCTTGCACCATGCTCCCCTGCTGAGTTGTGTATCTCTCCAGTTCAAATGTGAGATGACAAATGCTTGCTCTGCATGAGAACCATAACTTGGTGCACCTAACAATGACAGAAACTGCAGCTTTCCAAAGTATGCTAGAAGTATGCTAAAGAATAGAGCAATATATGCCTGATAATTGTATGCTGGTGTGAGCAGACAGTAAAGGAGGACTGTATTTTTCCACTGAAAGCCCAGATTGTGTAACTGTAATATGTAGGGAGTGTGAGAGCAGGAATAAGTCAGATTGAAATAATAAATAAAATCCCTTTCTGTCAGTGAGCACAACATCCAGCTTGTGTGATAAGTAAGTTGGGGAGGAAGCATCTTTTGGAAGTACAAGATATGATCCTCAGGATTCTTTTGGGCCTCATCTTCAATAGGACTCCACTTGATAAAGCAGTCGCTGCCTAGGGGATAACACTATTACATGAATAGACTTCAGGCCATGACTGGCACTGGGAGAAGATTTCCCCTAGTTTTGTGAAGTATTGACTGTAAATATGAAGGCTGGTATTCCTTCCACTTCCTTTTATCTAACCTAGCTTGCTCTGTGACTGCAATCACTGAGATCACTATGGACAGACAGAATCAGGGCAGAGAATTTTAAGCTGTTTTATATATTCTTTACTTAAAAATAGGGACTCACCATTTATTTTGTGATACAAGCCAGGCATCTGTACCCAGGATCACTGAGAAGAGGTATTAGTAGCATGCTGCTTTTGGGTTATAGATCTTTGACCCTGGTAAAGCACATCACAGCTTTAGACGAAGGCTTCATGTACCGTAATGATAAGTAATAGCCCACGCTCTCCAGTGCAGTGAAATGGTAGTCACTCATAGGACTGCTTCTACATCTGTGATGTATAATGTACCTGTAAGGCCGTGTAATGTACCTTTAGCTTCTTTCTTTTTAAGCCAGGCTTCACTAGCTTTTTCTGTCTAAGGTTTTACAGTTCTTGGAATAATTTAAAGGTTTCTCTGGCATGCCTTAGGCTGCTGTAATGAAGCATTTTGCTTTTCTGATGATGATTAATGCCTCTGCCTTTCAAACTGTGTTCTTAACTCTTCCTGTTTCCTGTCACTGCTTTCTCTTCCTAGCACATGCTGCCAGTGGATCGGGGCTGGGACCAGGTGAGGCAGTGTGTCTGCTGACTGTGTAGGTGATAGATAATAGTGCCCTAGGTAGTGCCAGCCCAGCTTCCTCTTGAACTAGTTAGAAGCTAATTGGCATTAAAAGAAATGCCTCAGATCTTGAATTAGCATGGATCTTCAACTTGGAAAAGGGCTTTAACTAGCAGTGTATCCACTGCTCCCCTCTTTCTTGGGGAGCCCTTTCAAAGAACTTTGTCACATTGCTGCCCATTTCACCTCCCCCGTGGGAGAAATAGGACATGATCATGTAATTGTCAGAGCAGGCACAGATCACATAAGATTCTTGGTACCTGAAAGCTGGAGGCTGGAGCTGAGCTAGTAGAGATATGAAGCATTCACTGCAGAAACTTAAGTCTCGTAACAGTTCCTGGCATAGGATTTCCTTTTTATTTTTCTTTATTTGCCAATAAAGACAAAGGCAAGTGTTAAAATAACCTTTCGATATGCCATGGGGTTTTGGTTTGGTTTTAGCATGCTAGGAGTTAGTATCTTGAACTGCAGTGAGACATTTATGGGAACATAAGAGGAAAGCGGATCTGGTTTTAGCCAGTCTCTGTTGAAATGCTGCCTCCTCTTTAAAATTAATGGTAGTATGCTAGCCCTCAAGGTCAACGCATATTCATCCTTACCATAGTTGGAACAACTTTGCTCACAGCTCTTCTTTGCCAGAAGGTGGTGGTCCTAGTCTGAAGAGAAACACTTTAGTTCTCTTATGGGGATAAAGCAGAGAGAAACTCCAGTTCTCCTGAACTTAGCAGTTACAAGAACATGGAAGCCTGTTGGGAATCTGAATGTAGGCATAGATATAGAAGCTATTTATGTATTCCCTGCAGCAAGTGAGGTTTTCTGACAGGTGTAGTTCTGTCTTTGCAGAGCATCCTCTGAATTTTGTGTGTCGTGCAAGATTGGGAACATGACTTTGCGTCTTTGTCTTGATGCCTTGAGCCTCGCCTAACATACTGTTCACAAGTTGTCTGACAAGCTGTATTAGTACCTGGTTTTACATGAGTCACTGACTTTGAGCAATACTAAATCTGAACAGGTCAACAAGTTACTGTGAGAACTATGCTCCGAAATGACAGCCTTGCCCGTGCGGGCACCTCAAGGTGACTATGTGCTGTGTGCTCTGGAGGGAAGGTGTTTTTATGGCTGGAACAAGTGTATGTTTTGTGTGGCTTTTCAATGATTTGTAAGCTTATTGAAGATAATTAGATGTTGGAGACCAGGCTTTTACTTGAATAGATGTTGTCATAGCTTGAAAACTCTGAGCAGTGCCACCAGGCACTGGTACTAGTCTTAAACATGTTTAAGCTTTTCAGGAAAACTCACTGAGTTGAACTGATGTGATGAGGTTGTTGGTGGCCTTGTGCAACTTCCTAGTCAGTCTGGACAGGTTACAGCCAAAAAACTCACAGTAATGTGGCAAAAAAGTTAACATTACCTCTTCAGTTTGGAGATGACTGTGAGGTGCTGGATCCCAGCACTTCCCCGATAAGGTCTCCAGTACCTTATCAGCTCTTCCTCTGAGATCAGTTCTGGCACCTCCTCACACTCACGTATCCCCTTTTTTTTTTCTTTTTTTTTCTTTTTCCTCCCTTTTCCCTGCTCCATTTTGTGATACAGGCCAAAGTTGCAGAGGAGTTAGCAGCTGCCACAGCACAGGTTTCCCAGCTGCAGCTGGAGCTGACTGCCCATGAGAAGAAGGAAATGGACCTGCGGAAACAGCTGTCTGCTGCCTTGCAGGAGGCAGAGCGACATGAGACGCAGCTCAACAAACTGCAAGCACAGTTAGCAGGTAAGACTTCTTGTGCCTGTTCCATGTGAGCTCCTTTATGTCATTCTTTTTCCTCTTTTATAAGTCACAGGTTTTTCCTTTCTTCTGTGGTATCTATTCCTGCTTTCCCCAGGATCAGTCACAAGGGTATCAAAGAAGGATATTGATGCACTGAAATGTCTGAAGGGTATGTGCATCCTTGTTATTACTGAAAGGAGAGTGGGCCAAATCAATGAACAAAATCGTCCTGTCACAGGGATGCCTTTTGTAGAAGCAATCTCTTGGCATTACTGTCTAACATCTTGAAGAGGAACCAGAAATGTTCCAGTGGTTGAAAAGTTAAGATAAAAGCTGAGGTATAAACATTGCCATTTCACAGAAGAAGCTCTTGATAAAGTCTAATCCCCAGTGCAGGTGCAAGCTGTGTTGTTTACTTCATTGTGCAAGAGACACTGCTCCTTCCCATCAGCCCCCAAATGCACTAACCTGAAATACATGTAGCACTAAAACCCACAGTAAAGTGTATTTTTGCAGAGCTCCAAGAAGCCTCTGAGGACACTCAGACTAGATTCAAAGCTGAGAAGCAGAGCCGCAAACAGCTGGACCTGAAGATTACAGCATTGGAAGAAGAGCTAACAGACCTAAAAGTGGAAAAAGAGACTCTTGAAAGGGTATGTCCAGTGCCAGCATTATGGAGAGATGCAGGGTTTCAGTTTGCTGAAATTTAACCCAACATTCTTGCTCGTAAACATGCAAGTTAGGTAAATCTTGACTCATCCGCAGGCAGGGATCCCTGTGCTGGTGGATCCTTTGTGCTTATGTGATTTTTTTTTTTATTTTTTTTTAATATCTCGGCCAGTAATATGTTAACCCTCCTACGTCTAAAATAATCTCAGCTTGATTTTAAAGTGATAAGATTCCCTGCTCAAAGAAGCTCTTTCTGCCTGAGGAGGAGAAGCTACTTTGGTGCAGTCTGGCCCATTCTGTGTCCTATTCTGTATTGCAGAATCTTGCAGAGAGGAAGAAGAAATCCGTCTCAGAGAGAGCTCAAGCAGAGGAAGAGATGGAAGAAATACGCAGATCATATCAGCAGGAACTGGACAAGCTTCGACAGTTGCTGAAAAAGGCACGGATTTCAACTGACCAGGCAGCAGCAGAGCAGGTGAGGAGTCATGGGAGCTTCTCCAATAAGTGTCTGGAAGGCTTGTAGGAACCTACAGGTAGGAAATAGTTGTGAAAATGCACAGGTGGTAGAAGAATGAAAACATTATTTGCTTGATTTTAGGGGTTAACTTTAACACAGGGTTCACTTTGTTGTCTTTCTAAAATATCTTTGCTGGTGTTTGTTGGCCCTGCTTTTAACTTTGGGATTTACACTGATGTCTCGCTAAGGAAGTGCGTGATTTGAGTAGGCAGGAAGGCTGCTAGGTCCCAGTCATTCTCTGACTGAAATCACAGGCTGCTGACATGGCTGTAGAGTTTTGGTGCAGTGTTGATGTAGGCTGGCGTGCAGCATCAGATTTAGACTGTGTTAAAGAGTATCAAACTGAGGAAAGGAGAGGTGCAAAATTAAGTTCATAGTAGAGAGAAGAATACAGGACTGATGATGATGGAAAGACTGCTTAGAAATACTCCAAGAGATCTGAAGTCTGAGCCAGACCTTCAGGCCAGCCTGAGGGATTGTGGCCGGAATTGAACTCTGAGAGGTGTCGGCAGGAGCTGGTGAGAGCTGCAGGGCTGCCATCTGCATGTAGGTATTCCAGCCTAGGGCAGGAGATGTTATCCAGCCCCAAGCTTTCAGCCACTTGTTGTCTTGTTGTGCAAATAGAGATTGGGTGTGTGTGTTCCTAATGATCTCTCTTACATGATGGGCAGCTATCACTCATCCAGGCAGAGCTGGAATCCCAGTGGGAAGCCAGATGTGAACGTACGCTGGCCTCGGCTAAGGAGCAGCATGTTAGACAATACCAGGAGGTGTGTGAGCAGAGAGATTCCCTGCAGCAGCAGGTGTCCCAGCTGGAAGAGAAGGTAATGGGCTGTTCTTTATTGCTGAAATACCAAATAACCAGTAACTGTAACCAATGGTCCTCTCCTCATTGTTGCTTGACGTTTTAATTTCTTGACTGTTATGGAATTTGGTCTTGTCTGCAGGATGTGTCTCTACTTGCATCTGTTGGGCTGGTGGGCTAGTGAATTTACTGCTGCAGTTCTGAATGAGGGAGAGCCAAGACGATGTCAGTCTTGGACTAAAGCAACAGCTACAATCTCTTCTGCTTATCTGCACTGAGTGATTGGTTTTGAGCAGAAACTGTTTTGAAGTGGGTGACACTGAAAGGGGCTGTAAGCTGATGGGCTCTAGTTCTTGTCTTTCAGCTTGCGACTCTAAAACACTTGAAAAAAGCAGAGGAGCAAAAATTGTCTGAGTTTCAGCAACGTTTGGAGCAACTAGAGCCTATCAAAGAGAAGGTAAAGGGAATAACACAGCAGCTGAATATGAACTGGAGTGCAATAATCGCTAGACTCAGGCTACCTATGTCCAGAATAACAACATGAGGTCCAGAATATGAGAGGGAGGGAATAACTTTACATTGCTTCCAGCAAACCTGAACGGGTCCAATGATGAGACCCAGCCCTCATTTCACTTGGATCTCGGTAATGCTATGCCTGTTCTTCATGTTACTTGAACTTGAAGAGCTAATGACATGATTGTGGATCTCCAAGGTTTTGGCTTGGTTGGATATCTTTATTTTGGTGCTGTGACCTTCAGCCAAGTCTTTTGCAACTCTTGATCAAAGCCCTGCTTAAAACTCCACTCAGCAATTTACCTGTCGCTAAAAAACAGTTTACAGAGAACCTGTTCATTGCAAGGTGGTGGTGTCTGTGAAGCTGTTCTAACTTTCAGTTTTCCTTCGGCAGTATTCAGCCTTGCAGTCTGATATTGTGGTGCTGAAGGGTCGCTATGAAAAACGCATCAGAGACCTGGAGAAGGATCAGGACAGATCTTCATCTGCAGACTTCACAGAAGAAGTGAGTTTGACTATCCAATATTTCTCCTTACTAAGCAAATCTGTTTACCTTGAATTATTTCTCTTTGAGCAGAGATAAGAAGGAAAACATTATTTTCTCTGCAGAAGCACTGTGTTTCTAGTAGCAGGGTCTATAGAGGAAGAAAGGATGTGATCTTCCTGCTGCCTGCTTTAGATCTGAGGTTTAAATTTAAAAATTGAAAGAATAATAAGAAATAAGTGTCAGTCTGCCTTAGGTGTGTACAGCCTGCCTCAGTTTTGGAGGGATGGGTTTAGTGTATATACAGTGGTTCTGAATTAAGATGTCATGATGTATTCTGCTTCATTATGGGAACTTCTGATTTGAAAAGTGGGTTCTTTGAAAACCACGTGTGTTAGTTTGGATTTATTGTTCCTTCACCTGGAGAAGTATCTGATGTTGAGTCCAGTGCTTCACATGTTAATGAACCTATCTTTGTTTCCTGTCATCTTCTTTTCCAGGTAAAGAAGATAATGAATGGTGTGTTTCAATCTCTTCGGGGTGAATTTGAGCTGGAAGAGACATACAGTGGCAGGACAGTTCTGGGTGTTGTCATGAACACTATTAAGGTACAACAGTGATAAGAGATACAAGGTGATCGCTGTGAGAGAATGAGTCTTGGGCTAAAAACACAAATTTATGTTGTGAGTCTGAAATAACTGTGAAGCAGAAATTTGTTGTGGGTGGTAAAGCAGCCCAGTAGTAGAAGAAGATACAGGGATCTGTGATGGTTTATGTTTAGGGTATAACCTACATTCTCTCTACTCAATTTTTTAGACTGTAACACTGCAGCTACTCAACAGGCAGCAGGAGAAACTAGATCACGACAGTAAAAAGGAGGAATCTAGAACAGGAGCAGCAAGACAGGAGGGATCACCTGGAGTAAAGACTGACCACGAAGAGCCTGTGCAGCATAGCCCAGCACAGTGTGTTGCATTCCCAGCTGACCCTGGTGAAGCAGCCACAGGCTCCATGGTGTCTGACCAGGAAGGCGAGTCTGCTCCTCTGTCTGCCAGGCCCAGAGCTCCTGAGGAGGAGCAGGCGACACAGAGCAGTGGGATGTCAGAAGAGGAGAAGGTCCAGGGGGAGCATCTCTCTTCCACTGCTGAATCCTCTCTGGATCCTGATAAGGGGGCTGTGCTTGCAGGACAGACTGTTCCTGAGGTGGATGAGAACTTTGTCCCAGCCGAGCAAAGGCAGGAGAGCAGTCCCATCAGGGAAGCTGAGACTGAACACAGTCCCTCCAGAATATCTTTGCAGGCTGAAGTTGCAGAACCTTCTGCTCTAGAAGCCAAGCCAAGAGAAGCGGATGTGGCAGTGCTTCCAGAAAAGCCAGCTGCAGAGCAGAAGGCAGAGGAGCCTGTGGGAGGTTTTGAGCCCCCTCCCTTAAATGGTGAGGGAGGGAACTGCACAGACCCATTAGGTGGAGCTAGCTGTGAGGAGCCTGCTTCAGTATCCAACACAGCAGAGCTGAGCTCAGCTATCATGAGAGAAACCCCAGGACAGCAAAAACTGGGCTCCAGCCCGAGGCAAAAAGATTCCAGGTAAGATGTGACTCCTGAGGTAGCCACAGTCCCACTTGCCTGCTGATCAGCTCAAGTCTGGTATGGCAGCACACAGAGAGGCTGGTACAGCTGCACTACTACTGCAGGGCAGCGCACGTGGTCAAGTGAAGCACCGTCACGATGCTAGCACTGCATGGCACAAGGCAGGTGCTGGCAGAGACCAGGCTGTCCAGGGCATGCTCTGCTGGGAGAGCAGTTGCAGAACAGGCTCATGTCTGAGTGGAGGCAGTGGTGCCATTATCCCTAGTGAATGGTTCCCAGCTGAGCGTGGAGGGGAGCATGCAGTTTCTCTAGGATCTGATATTGGTGGCTGCCAGGTCCCAATATCGTTCTGCACTGGTGAATAGGACATGCCCTAAAAGCTTGCCTCTGCGACAAAACTTTTCCATCATTCTTTAATAGAACTTGTAAAACCAAGATCCCCATAATCTGCAAGCAAACTGTTAATTCTTTATCTTCTTCTAGCCTCTTTGAGGATGACAACTTCTTTGAAACAGCAAAGGCATCTTGTAAACCACTGAAGCCTCAAGTTCCCTCTGAGGAGGAGGATGAGGAGGAAGTGGTATGTATTTGTATCTTTCCACTCCTACTAAACTGCTTCAGGCATTAACCTCTAGCTTGTCTGTGAAATCCTTCCCATGGCAATGGGGGACAGAGTGGCTCCTGCTAGCTGAGCTCAGAGCTTCCTGTATGTTCTCTGTATAAATCAAGAGTATCTGGGTTGTTTATTGTTGAGCTTGGAGGAGTTGCCTGGGATGAGATAGTGATGACAAACTCCTCCTGGCATGAAGTAAGTGAGACTTGCCAGGTTAATTGAAGGGTTTTAGTGTCTTGCCCCTGTCCTATCCCTTTTAGCTGGTAAGCATCTCTCCTGGAATATTAAGACATCGCATGAGAAATACAAAAACTTCAGTAATGAGATTTCTTGATAGCATCTCCTTAAAGCTGGTGGAGATTTCAGAGCCAGAACTGTGTAGCAATTACTAAATACTGGGAAGCTGTTAAGACTGACAAGTTTCCTTCTGGTTTGATTTCCAGAGCATGAAGGGACGTCCCCCTCCAGCTCCACTCTTTGGTGATGATGATGATGATGATCTGGACTGGCTGGGATGAAGAGCCAGCTGGTGAGCCTATGAGCCCTCTCCTCTGGGCATGGCCTCTTCCTGTGTGCTTAGCACTTAACGAGCTGCATATGTGGGACAGTTGTGAACAACCAGGGACTTCCCAGGCTCTTGTACTGCAGACTGATGGGACCCATCGCTCTGACCTGACAAATGTGCACAGAGATTGGGACGAGCTGAAGGAACCAACCAGTCTTACTGCACATTTGTATCCTACTTCTGTGAACTGTTTCATTAATCTGAAAGTTTATGCAAACATGAACTTTGTAAAGTGCTTCAGAAGGACAAGTCTGGCAGGACCCTGCAGTAGGAAACTACTTTAAAAAAAAAAACAAAAACAAAACAAACAAACAAAAGACCAGGCTAAAATCTTGTCTTCTTCCTCAGTGAAGATCTCTTTGGAATGTTTCTCTTAGACCCCAGGGTGGCTCACAGGGACTCTACACCATCTCGTCACCATGTATGAGCAATGTGCAGTGGGAGATTCGGCTGAGAAACCCCAGGCAGCTGTTTTCCTGTGAGCCACCAGCTCTGCACAGGCAGCTTGGGGAAACCCCAGGGGCTGAGGCAGTTCAGGTCAGCACTGTTGTACATCTAGAGCTGCGGCGCACATGGTGCTCACTGACCCACAGCCTGTTAGGCAGGGGGAGCTGTTAGCAGTACTGAAAGTCAGGGCTGTTAGACTGATGCTTCAAGCACAGATGTAGCATCTAGTAATTGCTGTTGTAAGGAACCAACTTCCCAGCTGTGTTTTATGGAGGAGCCCAAGGCTCACAGAGGCCTCAAAAATAATTCATTTGTGCAGCCAGCTCATCTCTCTGTATCCAGAGGTGAAATTTTTCTTTTTTGCTGGTTTGTTTCACTGGCAGTGAAAGCAGCAATAGATGTGTAATGTGCTGCTTGTCCAGAGAGTTACTGTAGGCAGCCAAGCCCATCTCCTGTGCCTTTTTTTCTGCTGCTGTTTAAAGGGTGATGATCATAGCACAAGTTAAAACTTAGTGATGGTGGGACATAAGCTATAACCCAGCCTCACCTGGGCCAAGGGTTCGGGGAATAACTTTTCAGACTAAGTGGACCAGGAGGGGAAAGCAGTGAGGATAGACAGCTGGCAAACACGTTGGGTTTCTCATAGCACTTTTACTTCTACACTCACCGGCTCTAATGCAGCTTAAAACTATGAGCAGGTCTTTGTATCTTTAAAACAAATAAACCCCCCCTTCACTTAATAAAATGGAAGTACTTCAAATAATTCTACTACAGTTTAGTTTCTACAGCTGCCTCTTATCATCCCTGAACTGAATTTGATCTGTGTCCTAAATGCAGTTTCTTGGGAGGAAAAAAAAAAAAGAATGCTGGGCATTCCTGTTCTGGAGTGTAGCAGTGTGGCAGGTCCCTGCCCCTGCGTTGCACACTCAGTGTGGCAAATTGCCAGATGCAGCTCAAATTCTGGAAGAGACCAAAGCCTGTGAAATAGCCAGTCTGCTGCCATGCAAATGCTTGTCTTGCAGGATAAATTTCACTGGGGTTTCCAGGGGAGCTATGCCAGAAGTCAAAAGCACTGGATAGTTACTCAGTGCTGAATGTGACAATGTGTGAGACTCAGATTTTTCTGGGGGTCCCCTTCCTTGTGCCGGTCTGAGTGTAGGTACCCTGATGTGGCCTCTGGACCCACCCATCTGTGGCAGTGTCCTAGTAGAGGTCATTGCTAATACTAACAAATCCCACTTCTAGTTTCCTGTTACAGATAGACAACCTGAGGAATTTGCATTTCACTTCTTGAAAAATAAAGTGCAATTAAACCTGTATTTTTTGCTTGTATGGGCTTTACTTTAGTTATCTGTCTCTATGCACTTGAAAACTGATTCTGCTCTGACTCAAATCAGGAATAATTTGATCTAGAAACTCTTCTGGGAGTGTTCTTGCTGTTAAAACCCTCTCCTGGGAAAGGAGAGAAGGCCCCTTTGTGCTGTGACTGTGGCTCCTCAGGCTGTCACGTTGTACTGTGTTGGTGTGAGAAGCTGAAATACAAAAGATAATGGTGGTGTAGGCAGGGATCTACTTGCTGGTCTTCTGTCAGGCTTTAGGGGAGAGGGACCTTGGGCATCTTGCAAGGATGTGCAGCAGCCTGCAGCTGGCTCTGTGGATGCAGGAGGGTGCCTGCTCAGCAGGTGTCCTAGCTAAATCGTGGCTCTGCTTTGCCTGTCTGCTCTGGGCACAGATTGGGGTGCAGGAGTTGAAATTTGAAAGTTGTCCCTATAAAAGCAGGCACAGCAGGTAACACAACCGATTCCCCACGTTGGCATCTCCCTAGACCCAGGCCTGTAGCTCCCAGGTTTTTTTTCTGGCTCAGTCTCAGGACCTAAAATAAATTATGTTTGTCCTCTGTGCCCATGTGCACGCCTGCCTTGGGTGCCGGAAAGGAGAACATGAGAAAGCTCTGGGCTTGCTTTGGGGACAGCAGGCTCTAGGCATCATGGAGGTGCTAGGTCCTGAGGAGGGGGCTGATGCTGTCATGGGGGGCTGAGAAGGGGCTATTTCTGCTTCTGGGTGCTGATCTGTGGCCAGGAGATGGGTGTACCATGGAGGGAGGGACCTTGCTGAGGATGTGCCTGAGTGGGCGTTGCTGGGTGGAGTTGGGGCTCAACTCCTGCTTCTCCCAGGGGCTGGGGGAAGGTGAGGACCCCCTCCTTCATTCCTGGGCCGTGGTTATCACACCCAGTCCCTCCCCTGCCTGCTGAGAGCAAAGGTGGTGTGTTGTTCTGGGTGCAAAACTCTCCCTGCCTCAGATGCACAGAAAAACAACCAGAGACAGCGCTGGGCCCACATCTGTCTTTAATGTCTTGTGTCTCTGCAGGGCTATGCCCCTCCTCAGCTGCCTCGGTCCCTCTGCGTGCACAACACCGGGCTCTCTTCTCAAGGGGAAAAGGCTTTTTAAATTGCTTTTGAACAGTTTCACCCACAGAAAAGCACTATGGGACATTTCCCATCGCTTTTTACCCCATCCTTGCTGCCTGATGAGATGGACTGAAGCACAATCGGGGGAATTTTCCAGCCTCTGGGACCGTGACATCAGCAAGCGTGCGTGGCCCCATGCCGCGACTCCCGCTGAGCTGCCGCCGCAGGGTCCGGAGATGCCAGGAACATTATGAACACAACGCGAGCACAGCCACACCCCAGGGGGTAAAGGAAAGCGCTCCAATAAGTTAATTTTTAGAGAGTCTGATGCCCTGGGGCTCATGTGTGGGGCAGCCGAGTGTCCTGCAGCCCCCGTGTGCCTGGGCTGGATCCTGGGAGCCCTGGCCTTAGCCCTCTCCCTGCCCGCCTGGCTGGGGCTGAGCTGTCTGTGGCCTGAGAAGTCCCTCACCCACCGCTGGGTCCATCCTGGCTGCCCCAGGGGCAGCAGTAGGGGCTGCTGCAGAGTGGAAGGGGAGCCCCTCTGCCCCATCTGGACCTACTTGAGGAAGACGAGCAGGAAGAAGGTGGAGACGATGAGGACGAGGATACCAGCGGCGAAGCCGAGGCGCAGGTTCTCCATGGAGGCGAGGGGGGGCTGTGTGTCCAGCAGCAGCCCCCGCCCCAGCAGCCCCAGCACGAAGGTGCCGGGTGCCTCAGAGCCACGGCGGAGGCCGCAGGGTGACACCATGCCGCTCACTGCGAAGACAGGGGCATGAGCCGTGCATGCCACCTCCACAGCCACAGAGCGTGCCGATGCTTGGCGGGTGTCTGGAGGGGTGATGCTGCCTTCCTCCTCCTCCTCCTCCCCACGTGGGGTCCCTGAAGCTGGCATCACCCCAGGACCACCCAGAGCCAGCTCGGGCACCAGCGTCACCATCCTGCAGAAGGGGCAGCTGACGAAGGCGACGGTGGCAGCGTGGCACACCAGCTTGCGCAGGCAGTTCAGGCAGAGGGAATGGCGGCAGGGCAGCTGCTGGGGGGCTCGGCCCCCCCCGGCACCCCAATATGCCTCGTAGCAGATCCCGCACTCCCCGCTGGCCTCCGGCCCTGCCGCCATGGCGCTTAGGGCGAGCGCAGCCTGGCTGCCGCTGCTTTTGAAGGCGGGAGGTAGGTGATGGCCGTGGCCGGGGAGGTGTTGGGGGGGTGGGCAAGGGTGGCCACCCCCCGTGCTGAACTTCAGTCTGGCCCCAGGGTGCCCAGTGGGCACTGGACCGACACGCTCCTCCTCCACCGCCCTAGGTAAGGGGCTGCCCCCAAAAAAACCTGCTTTTCTTCCCCTTCCCCTTTCCAAATCCATTATCTCAATATTTCCCAAGCAGAATGGGGGGGGGGGGGGTTATTACTGGTATTTTATTTTGGGATGGGCTCAGCAGTGAGGGACAAGAGCCCCCCCCATGCATCCATTTCATGCCAGACCTGGGGCATATGTCTCACCTGGCAACCAACTCAGGGTTCAGGTCAGCCTGGCAGGCAGGGACATGCCGACAGCATGAGATGTTTGCCAAGTAAAGGGTGGCTGCAAACTACTATAGCCCCTGCACTGCTGGAGGTTGGATGTGGGTGAAGGACAAAATTTTTTTTTTTTTTTCCCCATTTTTTTTTTTTTCCCCCCAATCTCTGAAAATGCCTGAGCACAGCCTGGCGTGACACAGGGCATGACTTTGTGGGGACAAGCTGGCAGTCCCCAGGCTCCCAGGTGATGCTCCAGGGGTTGTGGTGTCTCCATACATGGCTGAGGGGGGTTGGCCCTGGAGCTACATGGGGCTGCAGTGGCCCTGGGGACGAAGGGCAGCCCAGCACTGCCGATGGTCCGGGAAAGACTAGCACTTATTTACGGGTAGGCAGCGGACCTTGCCCTGAGCTCCTGTCACTCATTACCACCCCCCCAGCACAGCCTGGGGGCACAAAGGCAATCGGCAGTCACTGAGGGGATGGGATGGAGGGGGCAGTTTGCAGCAGCGCTGCTGCTGAGCAGATCACAGGGCAGCCAGCAGAACTGGGGTCCTCTCCTCCCTCTCCAGCCGCAGATGCAGGGCTCCCAGCGTGGTCCCTGGCTGCCCTGGGGGAGCTGGGTGCGGGGTGGGGGATTCTGCAGGCCTGCAGCTCTGCAGAGGATGGCTGGGACATACCACTGCTGTGTTCTCACTGTGCTTCATCTGCTGCCAGGTCGGCATCTGATTCCTTCCTCCTCCCCGATCCTGGGGAATGCCAAGCAGCTCTGCTGCCTGCACCCCAGCTGGGCAAGGGGGAGCAGGGAGGGTGCAGGTGGGTGAGCCCCTCCAAGAGCCTTCCTGCCTTCATTAGGGCATCCTTGCCAGGGCCCCCCCCTTACTGCACTCCAATTACCAGCTGCTCCCACGTGTGTCCCCCTTGCCGGGTCCCCACCAAAGCACCCAGCAAGTCCCTGGATGGGACCTACTGGCTCCTACGTGCAGCAGCAGCTCAACACAAATGCAGAGGCTGCAGCAGGGAAATGTCCCCGGGACTGTGCCAAAGGGCTCAGCCAGGGCCACACCGACCTGGTCCCACTCTACCGCTGCGGCACGTCCCCCAGGATTGCGGGTGGCACACTGCACTGCGCACCGGCCACCACCACCAGGCCATGCACGTGGCCCGCATGGACGCTCTGCACGAGCACAGCACACATGAGGTGACCCTAGTGGAGGGTTCAAGCTCTCCCGCTGCCTGGAAATCCCCAGGGCTGCTCTACAGCGAGCAACACCCTTGGAGAAGTCCAAGATCCTCAGATTGTCCCCAGTTTGATGTGGGAGAGGAGGAGGTGATGCCGGGACAGCCGGGCACGTGGCAGCTCTGCCACCGCTCCGCAGCCTCTAGCTTTCAAGTGTCCTCCCCCTCCAGAAGGAAAAAGGCACCAAACAACCACCAGCAGAAACCAGCTGCTTTTTATTAGCTTTTCCTGGGGGGAGGGCTGTGGTGGGACCAGGCTTATCTCTGCATTTTATACTTCAAGGTCAAGAGAGAAAAGACCACTGGGATTGTTACTTATTAATGTCGATGGAGACCTACCCACATGCCAATGCACAGAGGCAATGCAGAGCTGCGCCAGGCACAGCCCCAGCCCACCCGCTCACTGCTGGACTTGTGCTGGCTGTCAGGTGGCAGCAACACTTTCTGCTCCCAGCGTGTGTTTTTTGGATGAGGGATCCCACTGGCCTCCTCTGGCCTGAGTGAGTCCCTCAAGTCCTGGAGCTGGGGCCGTTGCAGACTCTCCCCTACAACACCAGCACAAATTTGGGGTCAGAGAGCTCCTCGCTCTGCTCTGGCACCTGCTGCCCATGGCTGCAGCCCCAAACACACTCCTGTGGATCTCCACAACAGAAGCCCCAGACCTTTGTCATGACATAGGTGCAAGGCACTGTCAGCACCCCAGAGCATCGCAAGCCCCTGGCTGAGTCCTCCCACAGGAGATTCACCCACCTCTGGGCAACAGGTCTCGATGCAGGAGCACGGCAGTGCTCCCGGCCACAGCAGGGGAGCTGCAAGGTCACGGTGGCTTCAGAGATGGCATTAACTGTGTCCCTGCTGAGTGAGGGGCATTTCTGAAGGCAAATACATTAGCCAGAAAGGAGGGGCCACAGGTGCACCCAGTTCCATCACCCAGTGCTCCCAGGCAAGACGATGCTGGGTGGGCAGGAGGAGGGGATGCAGATGAAGAGGGAACCCAAGGCAGAGGCTTAGAAGCCATCGGGGAACATGGTGGATGTTGAGACTCCTGGGTACAGCTGGCAGCCAGCCCGGGGCTGTGCACGGGGAGAGCAGTGCTGGTCATGCTGTGCAAGTGTCTGTTTAATACTGACACAGAGTAGGAGAGGGGCATCACCCCAGGAAGGGGTGACAGAGGCAGTGCTGGGCAGCCTCGCCATCCTCCACCCTGTCTAGCTGCTGTGGAAGATGCGGATGCGCTGTGTGATGTCCTTGCGGCACAGCGGGCAAGTGTGCAGCTGCTCACAGCAGGTCTGGCAGCAGCAGACATGGCCACAGGGCAGGAAAATCATCTGGGTCTGGGGGAAGAGACAGAGGAGAGGCCATGGAGAGTGCTGCTGTCCCGTAACACTCATCCCAGCACCACCATACTCCAGTACAGGAGGAAATGGGGCTGCAGAAGATGGGGATCACCTGGGGTGTCACAGCATGGGAGGCAGAGCCCTGAAGCCCAAGCCCCATCCCTGGGCACAGCCCACTGCTGTGTGTGCATGAGGGTCTGCGCTGTGCCAAGAGCACAAGTGGAATGGGCCTGAGGGAAGAACACGGGTCAGGGCTGGACCAAGCAGCCCCTCAAATGCTTCCCACGGCTGCTCTGTGGACAGACTGGCACAGGAGCTCGGCAAACTCCTTCCCAAGCCTGCAAGGAGCCCTGCCCTGCCATGCCCTCCTCTCTGCTGCAATGCTTAACCCAGGCTGTGCTCCGGAACTGGAGGGATGAGCATCCAGGCATTGCTCAGGGCCAGGCTAGGGACACAGATACTGGGGGGATGTGCTGGATGCTGCCCTCACTCCACCCCCTGCTCCAGCACTACACATGTGCCAGGGTCTCACCTCCTGCTCCATGCAGACAACGCACTCCGACTTCTTCTCCTCCCACTGCAGCGGGGGAGCCATCAGGACCATAGGGCTAGGAGGCTCCTCAAAGGGAGTGCTGGGCTCTGGAGCTGCAAGGACCTCAGCATCCACCGTCCTCAGCAGCTCTGCAACCACAAGCAGGAATTCTGAGCACCAGGAGAGCTGCCCATCTCCTACCCACCTGGCATGCATGGGGATGGCTGCAGGCAGATGGGTGCTCAGGGCTCCAATAAATAGGAAAGTCAATGGGACCAGCTTGACAGTGCACCCCGACTTCTGCCAGCACTCCCTGCCCTGCCTCTCCTCCTCACAGACCAGCCCTGCATGGCTCCACTCCCCAAAGGGAGGCATCTGGCCCTGCAGATCTCTCTGTTCAAGGCTCAGGTACCTGCTGCGAGTGTATGTATCAAAGACCAGGCAGAAAAGAACTGGTGGTACCTGGGATCATCTTGGCCACAGCCAGGATATCCTGAGCTCGCTTGAGGATGGCACGCTGCAGGCCAGTCTCTGTCACGCCGATCTGTGGTGCAAGAGGAGGGCTGTTAGCTCTTGGAGGGGAAAGGAGACTTATGTCCCAAAGGGGACACTGCGAACGCTTGGGCCTTGCTGGCAAGACCTGGCCATGCCAAGGGAAGCACCTCCATTAGGTGTCAAAGCCAGATAAGGGAATTCCACCAGCGCCATTTCTATTACAAAGAGCATCTGAGGCATGTTGAAAGACAGAGCCAAACTACAGCTCTCCCTGCAAGTGCTCTGGGAGAGCTCTCGCTCACTGGGACAAGGCACAGAGCAGCACTGGCACCATTCCTTGCTGGGAGGTGACACAAAGGAGCACCAACACTCCCTCCTGCCAGATCTGCCATGGGCATAGCCACGAGCATGGCTGGGCTCAGAGAAAGGGCAGGTTCAGTTGGTGTTGTTCTGCATTGTATATCTGCTGTCTTGTACCTTTTCCAGGTCACTGGCAGTCATGGTGCTGAGTGCTTGCAAGGATATTCGGTGGTGTGCAAAGACTGGCACGTACTGTTCAGCAGACAGCTCGATTAAAAGGTTCACCAGCTGCTGCTCCAAGCCCTCTTCCTGCAAAACACAAGGTGAGCTCCCAGACTTCGCTCTCGAGAACAAACACAGGGACAGGGAGCAGCAAGGCAGGCAGCAGTGTGCTCATTCCTGCCCTCTGCCCTGCTCGAAGCATTCTGCATCCCTGAAGACACTAAAGCTCAAAAGCCCAACAGCCGGAGGAGCTCTGGCCCTACGTGTCTCACGAGCACGATTCAAAACACTGTGTTTTGGGAAGAATAAAACATAACCGTTTTCACAGCCAATGTCTGCAACAGCACCTGCTTTGCAAACTCGAGCTGATATGCAGCACAGGCAGAGCTCAGATCCATCCCTTTGTGGCCACCCCCGTGGGTATTTTAACAGCACAAAGTCCTGGCTTAATACGTTAGGGCAGGAAAGGACAGGAAGTTGGTGCATTCAGACAGATTTACAGGGGAATTTGGGGACCCAAGCAGAGCTGTTTGGGTGCTTAGCCGGAACAAAAAGCCCTGCCTGGAAGGGGCTCAGAGTGAGTCCTCTGCTCCTGGCAAGCAGTTTGAGGGTGGGATGGCAGCTCCTGGTGCCAGACAGCTGAGGTGTTGGCTCCTTAGAGACCTGGGCTGCCCCATAACCTCCAATGTACAGGAATGAGAGAAGGCTGCTGGGCAGCCCCGCTCAGAGCACGATGGGCAGCCCGGGGTCTCCCTCAGCTTGTCAGCCTGTGCAAGGGGTCTGTGCCCTGCTCCCTTCCTTAGCTGAACCTGTGGGTCCAGGCAAGGCTGCCTTCACTCCCCCCCATGCTCTGCAGAGCAAAGCACAGCTACAGTGAAAGCATTAACTGCAGCAACGACCTGGAGTTTGAGGGAGAGGGGCTTCTGGTTCAGCAGACGCTGGTACTGGATCAGCCAGTAGTTCTCCTGTTTTGTTTCACTCTTTGCCTCCATTTCCAGCTGAAAAACAAACTCATTCATTCAACAGCCCAAGATAACGTTGCAAGCAGTATTTAGGGTAGCCCGAGTTGGATGTGTAGGAGGGGAAACCAACAGCCTGGGCTGCGCAGGGCCAGTTCAGAGCACTGCGATGGGTACAGCTATGGTAGGATGGACTTTCTGGCTTTCTGCAGGCTGATCCCACTTTGATCCCCTCACTCAGTCTAGGGTTGTGCATCCCTCTGGTCACTTTGCCCCAGACACTGGACGTGGTCTCCTGAAGCTCAGGAGAGTCTGCAGGTCTCCAGGATTACAAGGCCACACACAAGGACCTTGTGGGATTGTGATCATCCCTCCCTATGACTCCCTTTCCTGATGGGGAAGATTGATGATGATGATGGTGCCTCATGCTGCACCAGGGAGTGATGCTAACTGGGCCCCCAAGAGCTTACATTAGCACTTTCTGAAGTTAAATTAGTCTCTGGATCTGGACACAACCCCTCAGAGCCCTCCTCTGCTCCCCTTTATCCCCATGCTGACCCACAGACTCTCTCCGTGCAGCCAGCCCATGCGCTTCCTCATCTAGAGCACCTCATTAGGGGCCTTTGTTACCAGTATTTGTCGCAGTTCTTCTTCCCTTTGCTTCTTTTCTTTGAGCAGCTGCTGCAGCAGGTAGCCGAGTGCTTGGCGTTGCTCTGTGATCGTCCCCTGCAACAGAAGGACTCTGGCATCCACATCTCCATACCATATAGCTGCAAGAAATCACCCTGCCCCAATTTCCAGCAAAGCACTTACCATATCCAAAACAGTCACAGCAGATGTGGAAGCCCTGTGCTCCACAAGCCCTCAGACCAGCTGAGCAGACAGCCTGAACCCTCTCCTAGCAGCTGGCATGGCAGACCCCAGCTGCACCCATTTCTTTTGGTCCTGCACTGACCATTACCTGGTGTTGCCAACCCCCAGCACATCCCTTGCAGCCCCAGACTGCGCTGGCCTGCAGCAGCTCTTCATCACTCCGTCAGAAGTTCAGTCAATGGCATTACAAGTGTTCATGGTCCCCCTCCTTAACTGAGAAAGACCACCTGAAACTAGGTCTAGAAGCCTGCAGGTATGCAGGACAGATAAGGTAACAACCTCCCCGTGCCTTTGGAAAGCTTGCTTTCATTGGGGTCTCGCAGCAAGCACTGCCAGGTACCAGGGCAAGGTAAGTGATTGCTGCAGCCACACCGCTGGGAAGTGAGGAGCGGTTAATTGTCTCAGGAACGTCAGACCATGTGGCATCTCTGCATGGCTCAGTCCCAGCTAGCTCATACCTGCTAGGAGGGTCGTTAACTGAGCAGAAGCCAGTAGTCATCGGCCACAAGGCCTTCAGATGTCCACGGACAAAGGGACAAGATGTTGTTAAGGGGCTGACCTCCTAAAGAACAACTGCGGGGAAACCTTCACTGATTTGCATCTGGACCCTACACAGGGACAAGGTCCTCTGTTTAAGCAGGAGACAGGAATGCCTGCCTCTCACAGGCAAACCCCACCGTTAGCTGATGCTGTGCCCTGACAGAGGCAGGAAAGCTCTGCTGCGTCAGGACCTCTGCAGAGGTCAGAGGGACAACTAACGACACATGGGAGCTGCTCCGGGCGAGAAACTCGGGCAGCTTCAGCTAACCTTGAGATGAGCTCTCCTGCCCACTTGCACTGTGAACACGCCACTGGGATCACTCTCCCAGAATGACCTCGCAAGACACTGGCGCAAACGCCTCCCTTTCTCAGGGTGTTTTTCAATGCTTCCTGCTTTCCAATGATTTATCAAGTTCTTTACTAAAGCATCCGTGTATTGGGGGAGGAAGCAACTGTCTGCTGTACGGGAGGTACCCAGCATGACTGCAGAAAAGCTTCTGCCGAAGCACTTTGTGGGCACTTGTCTGTGCACTGGCCGGGGGGGGAGGCTCAGTCACAGCAGGGAACCTTTGGGCTGTAGACCACCAAATGGCAGGGGGGCATCCAGAGATAAAGCTGGTTTTGCCTTGTTTTTTAGCATCAGGTGCTGAAGTTGCAAACGTACCTGCTGGGCTGCAGACAGGTACGAGGGCAGAGCTTTGTTTTCTGCACTCCCCTGGAACTCCTGTGGTCACCTAACAGGAATCACCCAAGTCCAGTGTCATTTGAACTACATCTGCCTGGGGTTCCTTGGTCCTTCCTGCATGAACTTCGGGCGGTCCCCCACCATCAGGCCTCCAACACTGCAGCGTTATATGGAGGAGCTGCATGAATTAGGGTAGCATAACCCAAATCTTATACTTCAGGGTGTCCAGCACAGGGCTCAGAGCCAATCCTGTCTTAAGTCAGTGCTTAACAGCCTGCTGGGTGCACTACCCTTGAAAAGTATATGGTGTTTGCTACTGATTTTGGGCTCACTAAACAGGTGACCTTATCTGGCAAACAGCACACACAAGAAAACAACTGATGCAAAGGCGTAATAACAAAACTTAAAGCCAAGCTGCTTAAGCCAAACTTGGTATTTCTCAATGTGTGACTGCTGATGAAGTCAGCCCATCAAATGGTGGGATGGTGGGGCAGAGCAGCCTGGGAGACAAGGCTTAGAAATGAAGGGGGAGAGCTGACAGCTGTATTTAAAAACAAAACACAACACAAAAATTTAAGAAGACATGCGATGCACGGCAGGCAGGTGTTTCTGGAACAGCCAAAAGGATCGCAAAATCCTTCCCCACCCAGCAAACCTGGAACTGCCCATTGCTATCAGGGCCGGCTTGTTTGTCTCTCCCCTGAAAATGCATCAAGATGTTTAGGAGCAGCAGCAATGTTCCCATGTTACCATGACAAAAAGGGTTTTGTGGTGTCCTGTGGGTAAGTACCCTTCTGACTAAGCGTAAAACCATCTGGAAACTGCAAGGAGCAAAAGAAGCAAGTGGAGCTTTTGCGATCCCAGAGCAAAGAGAGGGTGGTGGGGCAGCCCCAGAGCCCTACATACCTGCAGCGTCTCTGTGTCCAGTTCTTGCCTCTTTAACTCCAGCTGTGTCAACTGCAATAACTCTGTTTCTATTAATTTAATCTAAACAGAAGATGAAACATTTTTTACTGACATTTGAAATTACTTTAATTTATGCTCTTTTAAAATGAGGTCTAACTGCTGCCCTGGGAGGGATGGCACTGCAGAGCCACCCAGAAGTTTGGGAGCCTGCTAATGCCCTTCTGTGATGCATGCTTTTAGGGTCACTCTTTGTCTTTTGCCTGAGGAGCTGTGTTCCCCACTCTCTAGTTGTCTCTCTACTCTAAACACCTTCTGTTCAAGTCTAGAAGCACATTGCAATCAGTTTGTTCAGCCAAACCTTTTGCAGCCCCTCTGGAAGGCAGCAACTGATTGTCAAAGTCCTCCTAACACCAGGGCTCAAACTGCAGATCAACTGGGGCAGGGTCCTGGTTTCTAGATGGTCCAGCAGATCCCATAATGATACGTGCTTTTTCAGGTGGGGCAACTGAGACACAGAGAGGTGAAGTGAGTTGCCCAAGATCCCACAGCAAAGCCAAGATGGAAGCCCAGCTCACCTATCTGCCAGGCCATCTACCATCCCCAGGCCACGCTGCTTAATGTGTGCCACTGACCACAAAATCCCTGCCGACACCGGGGCTCTGCAGCAGGCAGTATCCAGGACTCCTGCTCATTCACTGCCTGTGCAGGATGCTGGTGAGGTGGGATGGATTTTAACAGTAAAAGGTCCAGCTATGGTATCAAGGAACAAACTCCCTTTGTTCACAGAGCAAGTGCAAGCAAACTGCAGGGCTCTTATTGATGAACTCAAGCAATGGAGAGTTGTTAGATTCATCTCCTGGATTGCGCACGCACAATCCAAAGGTTTCTAGCAGAGACTGGTCACTGAGTGACTCAATATATTCAAGCTCTTAAGCTTATCCACCAACTGCTGACCCAAGACTTTTCTGCTAGTGTCAGATCACAAGAGGGAAGATTCTGGAGCACCGTGTCAGAAACCAGCCACCCATCTTTGTGCATCAACCACCACTACTTTCCCATCTTCGTGCATCAACCACCACTACTTTCTCCACCAGCTCTTGCTCTTCCCCCCCAACTATCGCATTGCATCTTCTGCAGAATGGAGCTCAGAAAGGCAGGCCAAGAATGGGAAAGAAAAGGTGAACTTATGGCACAAAGTGCAGTTCCGATGTGCTGGATGGAGATGCAGTGGACTCATGTGGAAACAGCAGCCCTGCTGAGTACACAACCTGAAGGAAATCGTAGCTGCAATTGCAGATCACCCCCACAGAGCCAATGCAGGTCTGTCTCTAACAACCACTCTCCAGCACTTCATCCACATTAGTGCTGAGATGACTGAAGCAATTCCACTACTTCCACAAATCTAAAACCTGCACTGACACTCCCTCCTATGGAGCTGGGAGACTGTAGTTTAACCAATACTGCCCAATGCTTTGTTACGGAGCTTTTAGCAATAAAAGAGCTCTTCATTTCCTCCAGACCCTGCTCTACGCTTACAGCACTTTGATCTTCCTCAGAAGTGTCTCATCGAATGGCGGTATGAGCTGAGTTCCTGGCAGCTCTTTCCTCTGTTGCTCACTCACCTGGTTCCTGATCTGCCTGTGCATAAGATCCTTCTTCACCTGGAGAGCTTCAAAGGCAGCTTTCTGCATCTCAATCTAAGGGACAGGCAAAATCCTGCTTAGTGAGGTTGTTGATGCAGCTGCAAATGGACTAAGAAACCCTGTTACCTTGCAGTGACTCATGTACAAGCACCTGAACACTGCTTCCTCTGGGCAACAGTGTCCCGATTACACCGTGACTTAGATCCCACAGTCCCAAAAGGTAAAACCCACTTTACAGACAGACACAGAAGTTTATTCACGTTCTTCAAACACATATTTTGAACACACTGCATGAACCCCACCTCTCATTTCCAGCAGTGCTGAGCACCCAGGCTGTGCAACAGGGCATGGCTGCCCAGCACTTCTGAAAAACAAGCTGCAGAGGTCTCAGGTTCAAAATGAGGTATTCAAAAGGAGCAGAGGCTTTGAAAATGCTTCCTGTAGGCAGCCTGTCCCAAGTCACCCAGGCAACCTGCCAAAAAGACAGGATTTCTGTCTCAGAATCCTCTCTATTTATCATCAGACCAGTTTTGCTTCCCACGGTCTGTGCTACTGTGTCTTCTGAAAATTTGCTGTCTAGTTAAAAAATAAATACATTCTTCTTGCAACCACCCAAGTCAGTTTGTTAGAATACCAGAGATTCTCAAAGTTTAGCACGTAGTGTTAAATAAAATAACTTTTGCACGCAGCCCAGTCACTGCTGCTCCTGTGCTCCTGTAATCCACTCAATCCTGCTTTTGCATGCAGTTGCTTTCCCATGATCCCCCCCCCGCAAGCAGTTTGCTCCCTTGCCTACCTGCTGCAAGATCTGACTAACGGCTTTGTTCTGATCCAGCTGTTGCCAAGCCAGGATTTGCTGGAACTTCTGGTCCATCTCAGCTAGGCTGCAAGAAGATGGATTTGCCATGGAGTTACTGCTGGGTCTGAGACTCTTGATGCAAACAAGAGGAAAAGCGGACAACAGGGAATCCAGGAAAGGTAGAATTTGTTATTGAACAAGGGTGAAGAGCCATGGCACTGCACAGCTGAAAGCTAACAGATTTAAAACCTCCTTCCCCACAACCAAACCAAACCTGCACCACAGACCAAGCCAGAGCAGAAGCACTGCTACCTGCATGTGCACAGCTTGAAGTCCAAACAGGGGCTGCTGCTGCCCCAGCAAGCTGCTCAGGTGATGAATTTGCACGTTGGTACTCTGCACTGGAAAGGGTGTGCTGATGAAGGAGACCCAGACAATGTGGCCATATATTACCTGCACTTGCAGGTAGGTCCGTGTCTGCCCACTGCCCTCTGTTGGGCAGGTCACAGGCACACAAGGTTGTTTCTGTTCAGTGCCAGACACCACCAGATTAAAATTTCTCATCTTCTTGTAAATAGAGCGAGCCAGAGATGCTCTCTGTACCTATAGCAATGCAACAAGTCCTACATATACACAAACAGCATCCTTGAGACAACCCTGGGAGGAGAGGAAAGGAGTTCTGTGCTACAGTTTGACACTGAACTGGCTAACAAAACAGGAAGAAGACCAGTCTAATTTCATCCTCCATATTTAGCAAAATGTATAAAGTAAAATAAACAGTGTAAAAAAGTAATAGTTCATCCAAAGTATGATTAATATGCATATTCTTGTGGTTAGAAGGTGGTTCATTTAATCAAGTTTGACAGTTTCTTTAAATTGCATTGTCACCTGCTCTTACACAGCTGTCCTGCTGCATTCCAGTGGCTGCAGGAGTTCCTGGGTGTATATATGGGAATTACACTGGAGACTGCTGGAAAGAAAGGGACTTTACAACAGTACCACCAGCCCCAGACACCTCCCACTGTACCTGGAGCAGGCCTGGTTGACAAGGTCTTGCCGACGAGACTCGTAGGTCATTTGGATGAGCTTGTTCTTGTAGCTCTCAGCCAGCATTTGTTGCATGGCAGCTAGAAGACAGAAGTGCTGTCAGTCTGCATCAGGAGCGGGTGTCTAGAATAGGTGCTCATCTACCACTGCTGCTACAATCACTTGCAATTAACAGTGCCTTCTCTCTCATTTCCAACCAGTCCTTGCTTTTTCCATTTCATCCATTCAGAGCAGACTCATTCAGCTGCAAGAATCGTAGCTATTTATTGGGAAATTAGCTGAGCAAACTCCACTCTGCCTGTGCTCACATCTCTTCAGCGCTCAGAGGAGCCCTGTCACTGCCTACCGACCCTCAGGTGGGCTGCAGCTCTGCCTGTCCCACTGCGAGTAACCCATCCTTGGGGCGACAACACACACCCCATTTCCCTTGAAACCCCTGCAGATCTGTTCCTGGTCATCATGAGCAGAAAAGGCTCCCTTGCACCATTCTTTTTTACTATACGCCTCCTGCTTCATTAAATGGATCAGTTAACATCTGTTTGGTACCTCTGAAATATGAAGCACTTTGCGTGTTTATATCCACTCTCACAAACTCACTGTGTGACATGCTATAGCTACACAGGGACCATAGCTTGCACCTCAAGGGGAACCGGCAGTGAGCTGAAGGTGGAAGGAGTGGATCAGATATAGTACATGTGCAATGCTACCCCCTACAGCTCTGCCCCACTGCACCAAGCAACACAGCAAGAATGTGTGCGTGACAGAGCATCTCCCACATGGTTGCCACTTATTCCATACATCTCCAGAGGAACCAGGTCTTTCTTGGACCTTACCACCCCAAGGAGTTGTCTGGACTTACAGGCCACTTCCTTTCTGCGTAGATGCTCCGTCTCCTCCTGTGTTATTGCCATCAGCTGTTCCATCCTTATTCTGCCAAACAAACAAGAACAATTCAGCCACTCCTTCAAACAAGCACTCTTTCACTTCTCCTCCACCCACTCAGCTCAGAGCCTAAAAGCGGGGCAGATTCATCCTGCCACCTGCTCAGGAAAGCCATGTGCTTATCAGAGACACAAAAGTCTCGGTGATTTCTTGGTAAGGAACCTCTAAGACTGTGGGAGACAACATAAATTTTGCATGAAACCATGAGGACAATTGCTTCTTAGACTGGAAAGCTGATCTTTCTGAGAAACAGAACACCTATGCAACGTGCATACACTCTCACCAAACATGATGCCAGTCCCTTTTTTTGCTTTCCTTTCTCTTGAGGCTTGACAAGGACTTTAAAGCTGACCTAAGTGAGCAGTGCCACTGAAAGCAGCAGCCTGGCCTCCATTCCCACCTCACCTGTCCTTGTCCCAGGACAAACACACACAGCACCACTTAACAGATCAAGAACTGGTGTGGCTGGAAAACCATCTGACATACAAAGGGATAATCTTCAGCCAGGTCAGTGTCCCCATCCAGCTTACTGTGCCACAGCACAAACAGTTGGCTGAAGGGAGGGAGCAGCATATAGGCAGGGGAGAGTTGGGGACAACCACTTTTGGTGGCAAAGCTAGCTCAGACTGTTGGCTGAATAGCAGCATTGCTTTCAATGTATTCCTCCCAGCCTGTGCACATTACTGGACCATCTTCATAAATGCCTTGCTTAACAACAGATGTAGGATTTCTATTAGTCCTTGATAGTGGAATACAGGGTTTTGTTCCCCAACTCCATAGCTAAGACCATTCAGAGATGAAAGAGAGGTAAAATCGCCATCCCATGGGGTTTGCCAGACTGGGTAAGACCAGGCACATCTAGTCCAGTGTCTTGCCTCCAACGGTGACCAGAACCAGCTGCAGGTATGAGATGAACCTCCCCTGACTTAAGGTGGATTCAGACTGGTGGCTCTGAAAGGAAGGTCCCAGCCCTCCTCCTAGCTTCTTGCCCCTTTCTAGAAGAGCTTATTTCAAGGAGACTCACCTCTCATTCTCCAAGGATTTCAGAATGTCTGAACTTTGTTTTTGCCTAAAAAAGGATAAAACAAGAGGTTTTCATCAAGCTGAGCAGGACATCCTACTCCCCCAGAGGGCAGAAAATGACTTTGCTTCTCATGCACGGAAGAACAGCTTTAAGCAGGCTGGTAACCTTGCGTCAGCACCAGCCCAGCAGGAGATCCAGCAGATCTAGGCAGTGGTACCTTCAAATACTTCAAATTTGCACCTTCCATGAGGAATTCAAATTTTTTCCACAGCACTGCAAAACTCTGACAGCACACATATGTGTGAAACACAATTTTTTAAGGTGTCAAATTCCACTTCCTTTAAATGGGACTTTGGCAGTTCAACAGCAAAGGCACCAGCAACAGACTTCAATCCTGACGAGTTCCGTAACACTCAGAAAGCGCAAAATGAACCACTCAGAATGGGACAAAAAAACACAAGCCCCCAAGAGAGAGAGATCACTGCAAGACACCCCAGGACCCTACCTCTTGTTGTCCTCTAGCAGCTTCTGGATACGGCTGGCAATGCCTTGCTCCGCTTGCTTCAACTGCTGCAGCAGCTTCAGGCGTTCCTGCTCCAAATAGCGCTGGTGCTTCGTCAGACCCTCCTCCAGCTTCATCTGGTCCTAGGCCAAAGCAAGAGAGAACCAAAGGAGAAAGTGGTCAGTTTAAGAAAGGCAGTGTCTTGTACAGGGCCTGCCCAGAGAAGACCTACTTCTCTCACTGTCTGCAGTATCTCATCCTTCTGACTGTTGATCTGCTGAACAAGCAGAGCATGTTCTCTTTGCCCCATGTTCAGGCGCCGTTCAAATTCCAGCTTCTCTTGCATTTTTTTTTCCTGAAAGGAGCAAGAAGAAAGATGAATGCCAGAAATCAGTAGAGTACCGGCTCTGCTCCTTCCCAAGCAAGAACAAATTCTGGAAAAAAACATAAAATGAGGCACAGTAATCCCCTCGACTACAAGTAAGCAAGCCTAACGGCAAACCGGATGCTTGACTAGGGGATGGAACCCAAAAATTGTGAACCCAAAAACTGTGAAGCAGAAGCTGCTTCTCTCTTTATGACAGTCTCCAAACTCCCCACAACTCTTTTCAAAGTCATGAAGCCAAAGTCGCTGGGCATCAACCCATACAACTGAAACAGCTGATACAAACCCCCAGAGGGAAGACAAAATTAAGGTCGTGTTCAATTCCAGATGGCAAGGGGACTCCCTTGTCTGAGGACAACAGAGTTAAGGCAGCAGCCAGCTACGAGCAGCTCTAGCCAAGGGGAGAGGTGAACTGCATGACAGGAGCTTCTGATTATTTCAAAGTGAGCCTTGCACAGGGGAAGAGACAAAGACCAGTGAAATAAAAAGAGCAAACTAAAAATGAAGCCAGGTGATGGGAACGGAGGACAGAAACAAGGAACGCTAGGAGAGAATAGGAATGGTGGCACTATGAGCCAAAGGGGCAAGGCAGGAGTCACTGAGGGGCTGGAGTTCAGGGCATGGACATACTGAGCAGTCTGTGCATGGACTGCTCACACACGTCTGCCCACCTCATGTGAAAAACAAACTGAGCTTTCCGCACAGAGAGTCAAGAAAACTGCCACCTGGTGTGAAAGCCCCCAGATCCAACTCTGCAAACACAGACTGATGTAAACCGGAACTGCTCACTCACAAGAGAGACTGCAGCTCATCGGCTGTGTGTGTCAGACGAGTCAGCCACAGACTCGCCCACACTCCCACTTGCCTTCTGCAGTGAGGAGTGAGCAGCTCGGGGTGGGGGGTCTGCAAGAACTCAGTTCTCAAAACATTCAGTTTTGGCTGAGAAACCGGATAAAGGGAGGTAAAACAATTAAAAAGAAGTGGAGCTATTCTGCAGACAAAGCATTTTCAGGGGTTCATCCTTACCTTCCTCTTCTCATAATCCAAGAATTTGTTCTGAAAAATAAGCAATATCAGCAGACATTTACTCCCAGGAGCAATATTTTGTATATATTTTTAGCCCACATTCTATCTTCCCCTAACAAAGACATCAACCAGAGGCACAAGAAGGTTAACATAGCCACAAAGTCCTGTCATTTATGCTTCTCCAGGGTCAAAGAAATTTACTTTGTATTTGCTAAACAGCACAGCAATTAGCACAGCTTATCATAATTACATGCCTAGCTTCACCTTTCACAGGTAGGGCTGGACATGCCTTAGCACTTGGCTGGGAATCACAAGGTTTTTCTGCAGTTTGCTGTCCTCCCCCAAAAATGCATGGATTACCATGCTGCACACACTGTGTCACACTGTCACCCCTGTCCCTTGACTGCATCATTGCTTTCAAGGACGAAGACAGTTCTTTACGATGTGTGTTCCAGGAGTCAGCAGTGGTAACACCATCCCCAGCTGTCAGGGAGGAGATGAGCCACCCACACCCACAGTGCTATGCCTGCTTCTGGGCACTGATGCTCTCTTGACCTTAAAAGACACATCTCGTGGCAGGGAAGGTGATGAGGGATGATGTGCTAAGTGCTGTGAGATCCACCGATGGAGCAGAGAGACAAATCCAAAACCCTCTCACACAACTTCACACAAAGTGGAGCCTCACCTGCCACTCGCTCTCCTCCTCCAAGTACTTATGCACTGCCCTGTCCAGCCCATCCACTGATGTTCCTCCTCCATCACTCTCCAGCGTGGGGAGTAGATACTGCGAGGGAGGGTAGTATGCAATTCCACATTCTGGAAGGTATCAGACACAAAATGGGAACATTTAGTGCTTAAACCTCTTTGGCAGCATGGCCAAGGGTTGGCTGGTGTGTGACACTGGTTCCACCTGTGCTCCCTCTCCCCACACACAGATGAGCACCCAAAAGAGCTCCTTCAGCTCAGGCAGGCTTAACAACAAGAAGCTCTGAGAGGAGATAGTGCCACCCCATTTCCACCAGGAAGACGATCAAAGCTAACCTGCTCAGAGAGAAATGCTTCCTTCACATGGGTACAGGCATGTTGACTTCTGCAGGGCTGCAAATGTTACTGCCCATATTAAAGTAAGTTCTGACTGCCCTTTTATTTCAGGGATTCGCACAATGTCTGGCAAGGTACTTCCCCTGCATAAAACCTCTTCCAAACCTTCCTGTCTGTATTAAACTCAGTGTTTACAAACTCACAGCACATTACCTTTGTCCTCTGAGTTTTCCATCTGGTTTCATCTTTCTCTTAACAAACCATCAGTCTGCAGCCCCCAAGTCCTTTCTCATAGAAAATAAGGGTAGAAGGGACCTTGAGTGACTATTGAGTCTATCTCCTTGTCCCAAGGCAGCTATACCTGGACAATGCCTAATTCTCTCACTTGAGAAAATACAAATGAGAAAACGAAATCACAGGGAGATGCAATGGCTTCTTACACTCACTCAGACAGTCTCTGACTCAGCTATTCTGGTGTTTTTACAAAACCATTATAAATTTGAGTTTGACAGCAAGAAGCAAGTCTCAAGGAAGGACTCCTGTTTTGCTGTCTACCAGTAAAGACACATAACTCACTGACCAGCCTGCCATGTGTGCAGAGCATGAGAAACCACCCCAAGCAGAGCCAACCCGATGTTCGTCCTTCATTAATACAATCTTTGAACATGCCACAGCACCTAATGAGAGCACAGCACAGTCCCCCAAGTTCTTACTACCATCCACAGACTCTTCTGGCTTACCTTTGCAGAGGAACTGCTGAATGGACTCTGTACCTGCACTGCAAATATCAGGTGATGGGTAGGTCATGGAAGAAGCATCCAAGGTCAGCGTCTCCAAAAGAGAACACACAGAGCTGCAGGTTATTCTAGTGGCCCAGCCAGAGTCCCACTGCAGTTATCCTTGCAGCTTCCCTAAGTTTCATTTATGGAGTGATAATTTCATGTTAGCCTAAATATGAGTTTGTATTGAATTTCCACTGGGTGTTTCGACACCTTTCAGAGGTGACTCCACTGTCTCTTACTTGGGAGCTTCTGGGCTTCAGTGGAACATCTCCCTCATGCAGACATGTCTACTTTGTGTTTAAGTACAAGAGGGCATGGCACTTCTTGATTACAGAAATTTTCTACTAATTTCTGTGTGCTGAAGCCCTTAAGCATGATCCAGGGAAGGGATGGTGATACAAAGAACACAGAGAGAAGAGGGGTACCAATAAGAACAAGTGGAAGGACCACTTGCTGGTTTGTCCTACTGTGGCCACCAAAAGGACCTAATGTTGCCTCCTGTAGAGAAGGGCATAGCAGGAAGGCCTGGAAAGGAACCACTTTATCAAGCACAGGGGAGCAAGCTGCACAGATTCCTCACCTCAGAAACTGCCCACAAGAGAAGTGAAGCCTAATGCTGTGAGAGCACTTATTCACATCCTCCATGCTGGTGTCTGAGTCAGCTTCATTGCCTGACATTTGCACAGTTCAGTACTGACAAGTTTGGCAGCCAGAAGGTAACACATCCATAAAAATCTTGATGCTTGTTCCATTTTGAATGTGCACTCCAGGGAGCCAGAAACCTACAGAGGCTGACGATGAGTCAAGAGATCTCTCACGGCAATGGAGGCAAAAACCTCCTTGGAAATATCCCATCTGCTCATTTAGAATCAGCCTTGGTGGAAAGCGGCTGAGTCAACCTGAGCCCACAGGCACAGTTCATGCTCTGAGAGACAGCCCTGGCAGAAAAATACCTGGGGGTTCACTCCCTGTAGATTACTTTTGTCATGATTAAGCCACGGCAAAAAGTGATCAGAAAAGATCAAAGCAGGAACAGTATGCAAAAGCTATTTTGGACACCAAGAACCACATATAGCCTTGTTACAATCCCCCACAGTGGGTCCTGCCCAAGCCCTAAAAATTCACTTTCTACGCTAAATTTATTACCGTATTGAGCAAGTAGGAAGGGAAGCAGCCTGCAGCAGAACAAACAGCCTGCAAAGGGGAGAGACAGACACAGCTGGCTGGCTGCGTACCTCCAGCGTGCGGATGTGAGCCAGCACCCGTGGCAGCTCTTGCAGCATGTTCTCACTGATATCCAGAGTGCGCAAACTCCGCAAGCCGCTCATGGTAGCAGGCAGCTCCTTCAGCTTGTTACCTAGAGAAAAGTCATTTAGTACCACATAACTTCTCCAAAGCAGGACCCAGCAAGTTCATCTGCTGGAACACCAAACCATAATCATACGTATGACTCATTTTCTATACTCTACTACCGGGACGGGGCTGTTGTGGGTCACACGAGAACTCCAGAGGCTGCCATTGCCCACCAAGGCAAATGGGCATCAATATCTACTTGCACACAGCCCCACTGCACAGGTCCAGCAGTGGTTCCTCACACCGAAACGAACTTCTCAGCTGAGGTCACTGCTGCAGGCTGGATCTGTGCTCTTCATCAGGAGAATATTCGTAACATGGAGTCTTCTTCCCTTTGGTGCAAGTACCAGAGATGGGAGAAAGGGGACTGAGTGTGGGACTGCACATCTAGGGGTCAGAGGCCAGGTGCTGCAGACAGATACAGCAATGAACTGAGCTGCACTTCCAAGTTCCTTGCCCTCCATTTCCTTCCCTGTTTCAGCAACAGCTCCCTGTAACAAAGTCTCCTTTTTCTCCCGAATTTATGGCACTGCATATCTGGAAAATGCCCAGGAGTCTTGAAAAGAGGTATGGTTGTGACCTTTGTGTTAGGGCTGTGCAAACCTGGTGGGGCTACACAGGCTCACGTCACCGAGCTCCGGGTGTCGGTGGACTTAACTGTAATTCAGTTTATCCAGGCTGACTGCTCTGCTTGCTTTACTGAACTGCTTCTGCCAAAGACCTGCTATTTTTCTTACACTTGAATCTGCACAGACAGATTTCTTGGGTTGGTCTAAATCATTACCCAGAGCGGGGCAAACCCTGGCCTGGGACTTCTCTTGCAGGGCACACACAGCGCTCCCAGCCCGAGGGGGGTCTCATGCTCCCGGAGGAAGATGTGTGCCTCCAGCCCCCTCGGCTCCCCTTGCTGCAGGCATGAGGCAGCTGGGGCTCTCAAATGCTGTCCGTGTGCAGGCACACAAGTAAGCTTTCAGCTGTTGAGATGGGGCACGATGGCCCAACAACCTCTCCTTTGAGAAAAGGCAATGAGCTGAACGAAAACATCATACGGAGCAAGTTTAACCCAAGAGCCATGAGTTGAACCACATGGCAGGGAACCAAGGCAGACAGTGTGTGCATTCGCTAAGAAGCAGCCAAACAACCCTAGTTACTCCAAGTAACTCAGGGAATTTTTAGGAAACATTTTCAGCTTAGATGATTTCTCCTGCCTTGCCAACTATTTGAATTCAAATCCTTTTTGTGTTCTTCCTTAGCGTTCATAGTGTAAACCATTTGGTGCTTGCTTTGGTTGAAAGGAATAATTACTAATGCAGCTCAACACGACCTAGATAATAAATGGTGCTTTGCCCAGAGCACCGACAAGAAACGTGTGCCATACCTTTCAGATTGAGCATCTGGAGCTGGGCAAGGTCTCCTATAGATTGTGGAAGACATTTTAAAAGATTCCTTTCAAGGTTTAGGACCTAAGGTATTAACAGAAAAAATATTCAAGATATTCTTTATATAAGTCTCAGATCTTCTACACATCCGTGCTGTTGGGACTACTTTCAGGCCCAGAAGGACAACTTGAAATTGCTTTTAGACAATACTTTCTAGGTTAAAAAAAAAAAAAAAAAATCCAGAAGCCCTGGATACAGGGTACATCTAGCTACCACATGCAGTGAGAAACCCTGTTCACAGCCAACAGCAGCAGTAGGTGCTGCACCCAGATGCAGGAACAGGGAAGCAGTGTCTTTCCCTCCACGGCAGCACTCCCCCACCCCGGCTCCCACAGAGGAGCAGCAACTGAACCTACAGCTCACCCCGAGCAGAGGGGACCCTCAGTGTCTGCTACGACACGCTGCACTGAGTTCTCAACATAATCACACAAGGGAGAATGGTAAAACCTGAATATGTTGGGAAATCAGCGGGGCTGGAAGCTCCAGCTCTGCGTACTTATAGCACCTGCTTGGCAGTGGGAGCCATTTGGACTGACAGCCCTTGCACTAAGCAGGGACTATATAACTCAGCATGCCTGCTCTTCTCCCGCTCTTCTGCTCTCCCTCTCCCACAAGCCAGTTCAACAGTGACAGTCAAGTCAATGGGATAGATCTGACAATATCAGCACCATCACTTAAGTTGTGATTAATTATAAAACAAATAGCAGTAACCCCATATTCTTGCTGTCCTGTAACATGCCCTTTACAGACACTTGGGATGCAGCTGCAAATCTTTTACCTGAAGAGATGTCAGCTGACCAATATCAGCAGGAAGCGATGCCAGCTGGTTGTCATGCAGGTCTAGAACCTGGAAGAGTAGATGATTGAAAAGAAGTCATGGTGCAAGAATGAAAGGTCAGGAATTATCTAGCAATGAAAATTACTTTCCTTCCAATGGGGCTTTGAAAAGCAGCTTAAGTTTTCAAAGAGACATAGGTACTTAATTCTTGTAGGTCTTTTGAAAACTCAAGCCTCTATACGTCAATAAACAAGCAAAAGACTAGGGAGACCAGTGACACCAAGGGAGCTGTTCCACAAAACTGGATGAGCCAACTGGATAAATCATCTCCATGGAGCCAGCCTGGCAGAAAAAGACATTTTCTGCAGGATCAGTGAGCTGAACTGCTCCAACACCAGTGCTGGCACAGGGAGAGGACAGGACTACACCTGGAGACCCTCCTCCATGGGGAGAGGTGAGCTGCTGGAGTGACTCTGCCTCTTGTGGAACCACAGCACAAGGGTGGTGGAGCTGAAAGCCCTCAGCATTTGTATGACAGGTACAGCAATACAGCCCCACCACCCATGGTCACCCACCACCAGTTCCGTTCACGTTCACATGACCCACCAGTGCAGAGGAGAGATGGATTTACCCCATAACACGCTCAGCCCTGACTGACCCCCACTGTGAGAGGCTGTTGAGGGGGGAAGTGTGAGATTATGAAGAGGATAAATGAGTCCTGGGACTGATTATGATTTTATACAAACCGCTCAGTAACTGCAATCCATCTACCAGAGAGGTAAACCTAGGAAAGGCAGGTTTCACACCTTGTTACTGATTCTTGGCACAGACAGATGGGATTTATTTGGGCTAGAGTGTTTTAATGCAGCTAGAATGCAAGGAAAACAGGCTGCAGATTAACTGTTAAGAATCACAATTACCTTCACGGTTATAAGACTCAGGAGGCTGCAGGACTTTGGAACTAAAGATGTCAGATTATTCGTATGAATAATCAGCACCTGAGGAGGAAAAATCCTATTGAAACATGAACACAAGAGATGCTGCTGTCTGGAACAAGCACATTTGTTGAGATTTAGTTGTGGAGGCTGTGTAAGAGCTTAGTATCTTATTCAGTATCATATAAAATATTAAAATAATAAATGCATTTTCACAGGTCAAACATGTAACACGAGATCTAAACAAGAGCCTAGTTTCTTACATGAGAAATATCATTAGATAGGCTAAGATAGAAACAACCACCTCGTCTTTCATGACAGAAATTAGCTCCAAAGCACACAGACAGGATTAGTCTACCCAAATTGCTCTCTACGTAGTATCATACAAGCAGCCAAATTCATTACAAGCAAACTTCTTCTGAAGCAACATATAAACAACCACATACAGTCATTTCAAACACAACAATAATACTCAAGCATAATAATAGAATTATCTAATAATTTCTGATTGCAACATTACCTTTTTTTGCAAGACTTTACAAGTTGCAAAGGCCCCATAAGGAACCTAAAAACAATTAAAAAATAATTGTGTCAGACTTCTGAAGATACTACCTTTGTAAGCACTTCTACAGCATCCACTTGTAAAGTGCGAATAATTAACTTTAATGAAAACGCAAATGATACTTAAAGTTACTGGCCCCTAGTTTTGGCCCAGGATGCCAGTACTTCCCAGTTAGCTTCCATTTGAACAGCTTGCAATGGCTCTCCACAATACAACAGTGTTGTGCACAGGTTTAGGCAGAAATCCAAGTCTTGAGTGATTTAATATTCAATACGCAGATGACTCAAGAGTTCGGGCATATTTTCAGTTAGTCATCATAGAAATATATTCCATGGTTTTGCAACCTCAGCAAACACGCTGCAGTGGGCTAAGTGAGAAAGGTGAGCAACAGGCAGGACTGAGTGTCTCCATATGTGCTAGGCTCTGCAGGAGAGGGGCAGTCAGAAAAGGGATATTGCAGTAAATTCAGCTGATGCCAGCCAAGGCTCTAAGCACCATGACCTGCTTTGCAGCATGGAACTGGCATCGGCCAAAGTGTTGTCCAGAGTTAATTTTAACACCAAACTGATGGCTCGCTTTATTTATTGAAACTACAAAGGCTAAACAGAAGACAAGCAAGACAGAGTTTTATGGTACCAATCCAAAAGAAGCCACTGGGGATCCAAGACCAGCTGCAGCTATGAATGGAGCTGGCTCAGTGTGCATCTTCTGTCTGCCACCCTTTTACCCAGACTGGCTCGCAGACCGTCCCACACAGCTCACAAACCTACACACAAGATGCTGTTGGCTTCTGATCTTGGAACAAAACATCCCAAAGTCTCAGCAAAGCCATTTCATACTGCACAGCAGACAGCTATCCTCTCCAGGATGGTCCAAAATCTCTCCTTAAAGAGCACTGCAATATCTATTAGCTTGTTTGGCAAAGGCATCCTGCGACAAAAGGTTACGCAGGTACCAACGTGTTTTAGAAACACAGGACAATGAATAAAAACTGAAAGTGAAATAAAAACAGGCCTCTGCTTAACAGGATTGCCTGGCTGCCAGAATGAAAAGCTGTGTCTCCTCTGATAGCCTGGCAATCTGTCACTAACCGCGCACGCTCCAACAGACAGCTTGTTTCTAATTTAGTTGGCTGCCATAAAAGAAGCCAAGCTGGAAGTGAGAATTCCATCCTTAACCAACAGCCTGGAACCACAGATTTTCACTTACACAGAAAAATAAGCACAGGTGGCAGACTTTGTAGCTCTAACATTAGAAACAGTCAGCTTTTGGCAACCAAATTCCCTTACGACTTCCTAAATTAGACCATGAGGTCCCAAACAAGGGTCCTACCAAGGTACTGGTGGAGGGTATGAGACCACACTGCCCTTCCCATCTTGTCAAATGAAAAAGGACTCCCAGGACAGAAATGTTGTGGAAGCATCAGGTAGGACAGGCAATCTCCCACAAAAAAAAGCAGAAGCAGCCTGTACCTGAAAGCCAGAGCTCAGCAGACATAGGAAGCAGCAGACCAGTAACAAGGCCATTTCTGTTTCAAGGCTCAGAGACGTGATACTAAATCTGACAGTTGGTAACAAGAAGCAGACAGAGGACTCAGATCTGTGAGCTAATACTGGAAGCTGTAGAGAACATACCTCTGAGAGTTCACATTTGGATATGTCAAGAATGTCATCAGCACCAGCTTCTTTTGCCTGGAGAGAGAAGATACGCACCCAGAGAATTAGACCATGCAGAAATACATGGCCCCTTGCTGCATATTGACTAAACTACTCAACTGGCCCTTCCCTAGAAAATGCAATTATGGTTCTCTGCCGCAGCTATGTAATTCAATGACGATGCTAGAAGCAAAGAGTGTGCTGCTACAACTGCAGCAAGCAAAAGCAACTGGGAAACCAAACTGCAGAAAAACCCTTTTGGTGCAATAACTTAATTTCTGCACGAAGAACCAAAGCACATCGTAATTCTGCAATTTTAACTGAGAGGATATGGAAAGGAAATGATGGGTTCTCACGAGAGGTGCTTCCTAGGAACAACAGCAGTGCCATCCTAGCCTGTAAAGAGCCTGCTGTGCCATTGGCATGTCTCACCCAGCAGATCAACCTTCTTCTGAACTGTACACAGAAACCAAAATAACCTACTATTGCCTTTTTGCTCCCCTGGGACCTGCAGAGCCAGCTCTGCTGTGTAAGACGGAGCAAGGACTAACTGCTTCTGTACATAAGTGGTTTTCCATATTCAAATCAACTACATCCAACGCCATTGCTAACAGCAATGACACTGGACAAACCTCACTGTAAGCAGCATTGCATCTCTGGAATTATTTTCTTAAATAAAAGGTACTGCATGAGGCAATAAAACCCGCTTGTGTTAGTGCCTCTGTTAAGTCTTCAGAACTGGATATCTGACCCCAAACTAAGCACATGCAATACAGAACTAATCCTAGAACGGACAGATTAAGCTATCCTCCCCAGCCCCTCAGGTGCAGAACAGAAATCCTCCAACTGAATAAATTAATTATTGGTACATAACAAAGCCTTGCTTTCCAAAATACCTTACAGACATCCAACAGGCATAATTTTGTCACTTTTAAAATGCAGGTGCCTCTGGGGTAAAGTACAGCAGTTCGCCTATGCCAGCACTGGTCCACGGCTCCTACAGCAGAATAGGTGAAATAATTCAAAAGAAGATTGCTTTCAGAAAGCCACTTTAAATCTGTGGCTGCTGTAAGGCAGGTAGTTCTGCTGACCTTGCTGGCATGACAGCAACCTGCTGAGGATCTACCCCAGAAGATCCTGGCCAAATCCTAGTCCAGGAAAACAAACAGCAGCATCTAATAAGTTGATCCTCTGATTGATAGGAAAAAACAAAATAACAATGAGAAGCAAAAGAGGGGCACAAGGAAAGCCAGTTAAGATGGGAAAGGGGATGTCACAGGTTCTTTGGCAGGAAAAGCAAACTGGGAGATCTGTAAGAGTGAAGGGGCATGGAGGAGAAAGGTGGGATGGGGTCCCACATGCAGGCTGGCAGGTCGTGTGGGGTGGAGGATGTTACATGGAAACACAGCGGCAGAGAGGGATGGACGTGGCACGAAGGGGACCTGTGGATGGGAGGGCAAAGGGAGACAGGGAAAGCAGGAATTGTCTGATGTACATTAGGAAGATGACCTGCTGTCTTGGTGAGACCAGTAACATGATTACTGGTAACGCAGGGGACGTACCAATTCACCTGGCATCCAGGACTGGACACAGAGAACAGAAAAGACCTTGGCATTGCTTACCAGGCACATTTGGTATTCAAGGCGCTTCCGAGCATCATCGCTGGGTTTCTTCTTACGGAAGAAGAGTGGCATCTTTAGTTATGACTTATGGTCAAAGCTCTGTCTCAGTGGCACAATGATCAGCGTAAATAAAGGCAGAGGGCTTCTGGAGTATGCGTTTGCTGGGGAGCCTGGACTACAGAACTGTGCTCTAATAAGCGGGAAAAAAAAACAAAAAACTCACTGTCTCAGCAATTGCCTTTTTTTAAGCCCTTCTCTGGCTTCATCAAACAGGCAGATTCCAGCACACCTCCACAGTGGAAGTGTTAACACGAGCTGCAAAAGCACTGCTGTGTCTCTGAGACAGGTTGATTGTCTTGGTCATCCCTGCGCAAGATAAATTAAGCCAAGCTGGAACATCTACAGAGAAAGGCTATTGAGTGATCACGAAAACACAGGGTCCACCCTACAACAGAAACTAAAAAAGCTGCAACCGTATCAAGAGATCAAGCACCGGGGGTAAAACCCAAACTATTTAAACTCAGAGTCAATTCTGGCACAATAACAAGCAACCGTAAAATGTTCTAGAATAAAGCTAGGTTAGAAATGTGAAAAACTCCTAATCTTGAGAGCAACACAGCTGCCTTCCCCTTCCAGGGCAGGTGAGAATAAACAAGACCCCAGTGCAGTTCAAAATACAGACAACTGTTTGCAAGGGGCTTGTTGACTACTGAGTACAGCAGAGCCTCCTCTGGCACGTCACACAGCCTGTCCCAGCTGCTTCCCAGGATGTCAGGGGGACCCCAGACAGACACCAGAATCACGATGCCCAAGCTAAACTTTGCTTCTCAGCTTTAGGGGTTGTCTCAACAAAACACTTGATTCATTTGCTTTCTAGGCAGAAGCAGAGTCACACAGGAATATTGTCCCCATTTTAGTCACACAATCTGATGAAAAGATTCTTCTTTTAATAATAGCTTAAAGTCAGATTTTTAATAGGCTTATAAAACCAAAACAATTTACAATAGTCTAATAACTGCCTACAAAGCCAAAAGACCCTAACTTCAGAAAAACTCTGACTACAAACCAGAGCCCATCGCTGCTGCCCCAGCCATGTGCCAGAGTGAGGTATCTGCAGCAAACCCCCCGGCACTTAGGAGCTTCTCCCAGGCTGTGTGTCTCCAGGTCAGATTGCCATACTCCATCCTGGGCTTACAGGGCAGCCAGATCTTCACCAAAATGGTTGTTCCAGGTCACTACGGGACAAAGAGCTGGAGAATGTTCTTCTGTTAATTCAACTGGACTGGATGCAAAGACACCAGCTGATTCAAGTGTAAAGGGAAGAGAAGCTGAACCAGAGAGAGGAAAGAGTAGATCACAGTAAGATGCCTCATGAAATCAGAACTGGAGGTGAGTGAAGGGGTAACAGAAACCAGAGTCAGTTCTGGAAGAGGACTGAACCAGCAGGGGAGAAAAGGGGAGTGTGTTGGCAGATTCTGTGGGAAGGGCAGAAAGCTAAGGCTGGACAAGAAATGGGGAGACCAGCTGGTAATTAGATGGGTACCAGTTAGAATGCTGGGAAAAGAGGGACAGGGACCAGCTAAACAATACAATCAAGGAGGAGAAGGGGTTCATCTGAGGCTGCATGAGAGCAGGGGGCAATGCAGAAAGAGTCCAAGTTAGGGCTGCTGGTGAACAAGGGCTCACAAAGGGAGCTGATGCAAGCGGGACTGAATTTGGCTTGGTGGTAAGACTGGGATAAGATGAGAGAAGAGAAGAAGAGCAACAGAGACCCCAAAAGGGGTAGGCTTGAGCTGGCTGGCCAAGAAGCCTTGGAGTACATGAGGAACCTAAGGAACCATGATCAGCACTGCACAGCAAAGGTGCGCCCAGCAGGAGCTACAGCTGCCGAAAGTGCAAATCGAGATACACGCTATGAGGCTTGCACTGGAAGTTTCACTTTGCAATGACTTTTTTAAACATTATTTTAATAGGCAATTTAAAAAAAAATACAGAAGAGTCAATACTTCACCAGTTCACCAGTAAATGCACAGCTATACAATGCAGTTAATTTAGTGCTCAGTGAAACTCATGTGTTGTACATAAAAAAGATGGTTCTCTGCCAGCTGTGTCTACACATTGGTCTTAAACTATACTGAAAAGCAGGTACCCACAGGATACAGCCAGAGATGTTCCTTGCACATGGAGGTCTCTGCCAAAAACTAAACAGACCTTTATGTAGATAAATCCCTAGTGTGAAACCAAAATATAACTTCAGTCTAAATGCATCCAAGCAACCACCCTTCATTTCACTCCAGAAACAACGAGGCAAGGATGTCCAGTTTCACTGTACTGCTGTCATACCACTCTACTAGAACAAGCTACGAGACACAGCAGAAGGCTACAAATTTTGAAGCAGAAGGCTACAAAATTTGTGACTACAGATAAACTCATTCTGTGCATTAGAATCAAACTCTTAACAGTTCCATGGCTCTTTCCCTGCCATCCCACTTTGCTGTCTTTTTAACAAGTTCAGACTACTGAAATGTCCCTCAGACTTACCCACCCCCGGGAGGGGAGGCAAGAGCAAAAATTGAGGAGATTAAGCAAGAAGGGAGGTTCATTGTCAGGAGCTACAGTTTGGAAATGCAGGAAAGCAATCAAGAGCCATAAGCAAGGGTCAGACATCACAGAGAAAACAAAAGAAGGAAATTTAAAGATGAGAAACCAGAAGGACAAGAGTGCCTGCAGCAAGATATCCGTAACTTTGCTGAACATGTTGAACTCTTTGCTAACGACTTATGCACCCCCTTGCCCTGTCTCACCTTCCTCTATTACAGCTAGATATTATTAGTCATGTGGATAGTGGAAAATCGTTATTTAATTTTCACCCAAGAAAACACATAGACATGAAGGCTGAAGGACAGACAGTTGAACAGGAAAAGAGTTGTATCAGGGGTCAAAAGATGTAGGATCAGAGACTTGTTAAATGGATTGAACAGCCTTTTAAATGTCAAAACTTGCCTTAGTGAGAAGACATGTCAAACCTGCAAAGAGCAAAGCTGTGCCTCTCTCTGTGACATTGCCTTTGTGTGCTCTGCTGATCACCATCAATTTTAGGTGAGACTAGCACACAGCAGTCAATAACAAGAAGGGACTTTGGCATGCGACCGTATTTTATATGACATAATTTTTATTTATTAAGTTATTGAAAGAACTATCTGTGCATGCCTGGGACAGTACCCACCCTGCACTAAGTGAGCATCGATGAATTGCAAATCCCATGTCCCCAGAGATGCCAGTGGTTCGTTCATCTTTGCAGGAACCTGCTCTGCCTGCCTAAGCAGCAGCAATGTACACACAGGGCGAGAAAGGGCAAGGGAACGTCCACTGTGTGTTTTACAGCCTGCAGCTGTTTGGATGCTGAGAGTAAAATAAAACAAATCCCTAATTTTGCAAACAAAAGTAATCAAAGCAAAACAGCAACATGGCTATATAAAAAGACCCAAACCCCAATTTTTAAAGCATTCTGGACATCATAAATACGGCATGGCACTGTAGCAGACAAGATGGGGGTATGGAAAGAAAAGAGATTTTATTTTCTCTGGGAAAAACATGCTCAGGAGCACAACAATGCAGCAGTGAGCCAGCATCTGGATCTGAGCGGGCCTCCTGCAGAGATGCCACCAAGTCATGAAGGACAGAGCCGTCACCAGACATCTCTCAGGCAGCAGGTCTTGCTCACTAAGAAGGTTATCAGGCAACTAGCAGTGGTAGCAGCAAGCACTGCAGCCCAACACGCACTGGAACAAGATTCAGGAAGGAGACGGAAGGTGAACTGCAGCTTTGTAACTTGCTCTCCCACGGCACGTTTGCTCTCTGTGCTGGAGAGCTGTCATGACAGTTGTACCACCCCCTGTAATAACAAGGCTCTGCTTGATCCTGTCAAGGACCTCCCCTGGCAATGCCTGAAACAAATCTCTCTTCTTCACCAGCTCCAGCTCTGCCTCTCAGTCCTCTCTCTCCCTTATTGTCACTATTCTCTTCTTCTTCTTCTCTTTAGGGATTCCCTGCAGTGTCCCCCTCCCAGGTTTCACACAGCTTCCAAAGGCTATCTTTCTCGGTTCTCCTCTTCTTTACTCTTTTATCAGCCAGAATGGAGCCGTTCTGTGCCTGAAGGCCTGAGCGCTGCCAGCACCGGCCCCGACACCTGAGGAAAGCAGCAACAATGAGCGAGGGCAGCGTCTCCTGCCGCAACCAACACACCCGCAGCTTCGGGCACCACCTGCCCCCTTCTGTGGAGGCAGCAGAAGCGCCTGCACGGCGCCCTGCGCCTTTCCTCGCCCTCGCCCCTCTGAGGAGCCCGGCGCAGCCTGAGGGATCTCACACCCACACGGAGCCTCGGACCCTCGGGAGGGGCAGAGGTCACCGCCGATCCGCCGCGAAACCCGGCCCCGCCAGGCCCCACGTCTCCGCGCTGAGGGGAGAAGAGCCCCGCACACGCTACCGAGGCCGCGGGGGCCGATCCCCCGCTCCCCCCCGCCTCCGGCCCGGCCGAGCCTGGCTCACCGCTCCCCGCCGCCATGATGCGACACCTCCCCTCCTGCCTCCTCCAAGGGTCACGTGATCTCCCGGCCACGGGGACCATCGAGAGAAGGAGCCAGAGCGCCTCGCTCCGACCATAGAGTTCTGCGCAGCGTCCCGCAGCCCTCGTGCGCCCCCAGGGGGAAGGCTGCCCGCCCCGCCCACTGCCCACACCGGCGACACGCGGCGGCGGAGGCGGGGCGCGCGCGGCTCCGCCCTCTCGCGAGATCTCGGCCGCTATATGCGGTGCCCGCGGACGGGGCGCTCCCTTTCTGCCTGGTTGC